TGCAGTCATCTTTGCAGGACGGCCACTCCTAGGGAGAATAGCAACAGTGCTGAACTTTCTCCATTTATAGACAATTTGTCTTACCGTGGACTGATGAACATCAAGGCCTTTCCAGCTTTATGCATGTCAACAATTCTTAATTTTAGGTCTTCTGAGATTTATTTTGTTCAAGGCATGGTTCACATCAGGCAATGCTTCTTGTGAATAGCAAACTCAAATTTTGTGAGTGTTTTTTATAAGGCAGGGCAGCTCTAACCAACATCTCCAATCTCGTCTCATTGATTGGACTCCAGGTTAACTGACTCCTGACTCCAATTAGCTTTTGGAGAAGTCATTAGCCTAGGGGTCACATAATTTTTCCAACCTACACTGCGAATGTTTAAATGATGTATTCAATATAGACAAGAAAAATACAATCATTTGTGTGTTATTAGTTTAAGCACACTGTGTTTGTCTATTGTTGTGACTTAGATGAAGATCAGATCACATTTTATGACCAATTTATGCAGAAATCCAGATAAGGCCACTAAGGCGTGGTGCAGTGCAGTATGGGTAGTGATGACTGTGTCCAGACTTCAGGATGGGGGGGGGGGGGGGGGGGGTATCTGTCCCAGTGTTAAATTGCTGTGATATACAGTGGGGAAAACAAGTATTTGATACACTGCCGATTTTGCAGGTTTTCCTACTTACAAAGCATGTAGAGGTCTGTAATTTTTATCATAGGTACACTTGCAATTAACTATCGTAGTTTACGAGAAACCGTACAACGTCATCTTCGTGATTATAAAAAACATATGTTTTTTGTAGAAAAAAGTTATAGGTCCAGTTGAGGCGTGTTAAGGCGGATCTGTTAAGGCAGGTTTCGGAGCTCTATGTGATCTGTGATTTTATGTGATTTTCTGTATAAAATGTGTCCATCTTCAACTAGTTAGGTGCAGTTTAATATTGCAAATGTACAGCAAATGGACAGTGTCCATTTTCCATTACATATACAGTGGGGAGAACAAGTATTTGATACACTGCCGATTTTGCAGGTTTTCCTACTTACAAAGCATGTAGAGGTCTGTAATTGTTATCATAGGTACACTTCAACTATGAGAGACGGAATCTAAAACAAAAATCCAGAAAATCACATTGTATGATTTTTAAGTAATTAATTTGCATTTTATTGCATGACATAAGTATTTGATCACCTACCAACCAGTAAGAATTCAGGCTCTCACAGACCTGTTAGTTTTTCTTTAAGAAGCCCTCCTGTTCTCCACTCATTACCTGTATTAACTGCACCTGTTTGAACTCGTTACCTGTATAAAAGACACCTGTCCACACACTCAATCAAACAGACTCCAACCTCTCCACAATGGCAAAGACCAGAGAGCTGTGTAAGGACATCAGGGATAAAATTGTAGACCTGCACAAGGCTGGGATGGGCTACAGGCAAGCAGCTTGTTGAGAAGGCAACAACTGTTGGCGCAATTATTAGAAAATGGAAGAAGTTCAAGGTGACGGTCAATCACCCTCGGTCTGGGGCTCCATGCAAGATCTCACCTCGTGGGGCATCAATGATCATGAGGAAGGTGAGGGATCAGCCCAGAACTACACGGCAGGACCTGGTCAATGACCTGAAGAGAGCTGGGACCACAGTCTCAAAGAAAACCATTAGTAACACACTACGCCATCATGGATTAAAATCCTGCAGCGCACGCAAGGTCCCCCTGCTCAAGCCAGCGCATGTCCAAGCCCATCTGAAGTTTGCCAATGACCATCTGGATGATTCAGAGGAGGAATGGGAGAAGGTCATGTGGTCTGATGAGACAAAAATAGAGCTTTTTGGTCTAAACTCCACTCGCCGTGTTTGGAGGAAGAAGAAGGATGAGTACAACCCCAAGAACACCATCCCAACCGTGAAGCATGGAGGTGGAAACATCATTCTTTGGGGATGCTTTTCTGCAAAGGGGACAGGACGACTGCACCGTATTGAGGGGAGGATGGATGGGGCCATGTATCGCGAGATCTTGGCCAACAACCTCCTTTCCTCAGTAAGAGCATTGAAGATGGGTCGTGGCTGGGTCTTCCAGCATGACAACGACCCGAAACACACAGCCAGGGCAACTAAGGAGTGGCTCCGTAAGAAGCATCTCAAGGTCCTGGAGTGGCCTAGCCAGTCTCCAGACCTGAACCCAATAGAAAATCTTTGGAGGGAGCTGAAAGTCCGTATTGCCCAGCGACAGCCCCGAAACCTGAAGGATCTGGAGAAGGTCTGTATGGAGGAGTGGGCCAAAATCCCTGCTGCAGTGTGTGCAAACCTGGTCAAGACCTACAGGAAACGTATGATCTCTGTAATTGCAAACAAAGGTTTCTGTATCAAATATTAAGTTCTGCTTTTCTGATGTATCAAATACTGACGTCATGCAATAAAATGCAAATTAATTACTTAAAAATCATACAATGTGATTTTCTGGATTTTTGTTTTAGATTCCATCTCTCACAGTTGAAGTGTACCTATGATAACAATTACAGACCTCTACATGCTTTGTAAGTAGGAAAACATGCAAAATCGGCAGTGTCTCAAATACTTGTTCTCCCCACTGTACATTACACGGGTGTGGGAGGGGGCTGATCTGGTTGCTAGGATACATGGCTGACGCCAACAGTAGATATGATTTATAACGTCTGGTCCCTGTTTCTCTCTTTCTTTTTCTCTCATTCCCTCTCTCCGTGCATCTTTCTTTTTCACTCTTTATCCTACCACTGTCTGGACTGTGTGTGTGTGTGTGTGTGGTGTATGTATGTGTGTATGTGTGTGTGTGTGGTATCCTCTCCCAGTTGAATGGATGATACTGATCTATAGGGCCTAGATTTACTTCAGGATGCAAAACCCCTCAGGAAGGAATGACAGAGAGAGAGAGGGAGAGAGATAAAGAGGGAAAGAGAGATAGGGCGAGAGAGAGACAGAGAGGGAGAAATAGAGATGGAGAGAGAGAGGGAGAGAGGGAGAGAAAGGGGATACACTCATACTGTAAGCACAACTCAAGCAAGCAGGGAGAATTACAGTAAACTGAACCCTACAGATGTAGGATCTTAATTTTAGCCAGTTTGCTACAGATGGAAAATAATCCTGCAGCAACAGAAAATGTGAATTATAATGTGGATTATAATTAATGGACATTTCTTGCAGGGGTTGATACATTTGTCTTACTGCAAATCAAGTCTGACATTTTAAAGTGGAAATTACAAACTTTAGAATACTTTTTAAACTTCGAATACACTACAAGTTTGCATTTTCTGATGTGCAGGAAAATTCTCAGCAACAAAAGAGTGATCAAATTAAGAAGTACCATACACACGCACGCACACACACCACAAAAAGTATTGGCAGCTCTCTCTCTGCCTGGTGTCTTCCGATAAATGGAAGTTAATTCTAAAGTGATACAAAGACAGACAGACAGACACACACACACACACACACACACACACACACACACACTAATAGACCTAAAGCTTCCTGAGGAGGGCCCAGCACTGCATTAGCTACGGATGTGGGATTGATTGAGAGGCAGAAAGCCGGAGTGTGTTTGACTACTGGTGTCTGTGTATGGAGAATTAGTGTGTATTTGGGCCTCTGTGTGTGTGTGTGTACTTCCATTTAGGGGAAGAAATTGATCATGATGGATCCTCTTGGCCATTGGCATTGGGACAGTCCTGAATTATCTCTAAGTGAAAGTGCGCCAAGACCTAAGGGCTGAAACGTTTCAACACACTAAACAGGTCATAGTCTGGGAAGTTTTCTTTTACATTTTGCTGAACATATTCCTTTTATTTTATTTTATTTTATTTCACCTTTATTTAACCAGGTAGGCCAGTTGAGAACAAGTTCTCATTTACAACTGCGACCTGGCCAAGATAAAGCAAAGCTGACCTCCAAGGCCTGGTTAAAATCACAGATTTGTGTTTGTGCTTGTAATCTTTTAAAGGGGAAATCTGGGATTGGAAAAACAACACCCCTGCCAATTGTTTTTGTTAACAGCTGAGGCCAGGATGGGGCTGGAGAATGGATGTACCAATCCCGGAATGCCTCTTTAGTAATATTCTCCGATTAGTGAGTATGTAAAGATGTCATGTCATGCTGTGGAGTGGAGAAAACGATGTAACTGACTGTGTGGTGTTATTATTGTCATCTCAGAACACTGACACTGTGCTACCCTGCCCCCTTGTGGCCCCAGCCTGATACTACCATTACTCCCCTGCTGGTAAATGCTTGGCCTCTGCTTCGATCCAGGCTTCCTCAGTTGAGTAATGAACAAGACTTGGAAGTATGGTAAGGTGAGCAGTTTGAGATGGGAATAAAGATATTATCTGAGAGATGATAATCAATAAATGAACAAATTAAACATTCAATAGTTCAAGTTTTATTAGTTGTATGTACAGGATACACATGGTATACACCGTCCAATGAAATGCTTACTTGCAGGTTCCTTCTCGACAATGCAACAACAATAAGAAATAATAAAATATAAGAATATGAACATAAAGTTAATAATATGGCCTCCATACCAGTCCTCATATCATATAGAACATTATTTTGATGAAAATATCCTTTATCCTGTTGTGCGGTACATTTGCAGAGCAGGCTCTGTAGAGAGGTCATGTTCAAGAGCATCAAATTCGCTTAATTATTGGTCAGTCATTATTTAGGATACAGGGTAATTGTAGATCAGTCAGTCAGCAGTCGCGGAATGCAATATAGTCGATCTCAAACATGACGGGAGACTGGACCAGTCTGCCTATGGAGGTTAGTTAGGCAACAGTGTGGGTAAAGGGTCAAATAAGAAAGAAAAACCCCAGTCAACTTTATACTAGTTCACCACAGAAAACAAGTGTTTCCTTTGGGATCAACTCTCCCTCCTCAAACATTGAAATGTTGCTCAACAGTTTCTTAGAATAAATTTTTTGGGGGATAAGCCTCTCCGTTCCCTTGCTTACTCTGTGAATATGACGTTTTAGCATACTGGTAGCAGCTTTGAACACTCATGTTCATTATTCTATATTTAAGAAAATAAACAATATTTGACATTTCTTTACAAAGATGATATACACAACAGTGCCTTCACTGGCTGTACAGGGGCATACTGATGAGAGGTGGATGTAGTACAGGTAATATGTATCATATATCAGCCTACACACTGAGTGTACATAACATTATGAACACATGCTCTTTCCACAACATAGACTGACCAGGTGAATCCAGGTGAAAGCTATGATCCCTTATTGATGTCACTTGTTAAATCCACTTCAATCAGTGTAGATGAAGGAGAGGAGACAGGTTAAAGAAGGATTTTTCAGCCTTGAGACAATTGAGACATGGATTGTGTATGTGTGCCATTCAGAGGGTGAATGGGCAAGAACAAATATTTAAGTGCCTTTCAACGGGGTATGGTAGTAGGTGCCAGGTGCACCAGTTTGTGTCAAGAACTGCAACGCTGCTGGGTTTTTCATGCTCAACAGTTTCCTGTGTGTATCAAGAATGGTCCACCACCCAAAGGACATCCAGCCAACTTGACACAACTGTGGGAAGCATTGGAGTCAACATGGGCCAGTGGCAGATTATGTCAGCATAGATCATTATCTAGCCATCCCATATCAACCTAGACCAATATGATTATCTAACCATCCCATATCAGCCTAGCCCTAGTATGTCCTCAGTGAGGAAAGTGTGTGTTCAAAGTCTGAACGTAACAATGGTCCTCCTTCTCCTCAGAGCCAATAAGTGATTCTTGTCACAACTCCTCCACGTCTCTCTCCTTCTCCCCCCTCCTTTACTGTCTCTTCTCCCCATCTCATCTGCCACTCTTTACTCAACCCTCAATCTTCTCCTCATTTCCCTTCCTTCTCATCCACACCACTCCTCTTCTCCTTCTCTCCCTCCATCCTGGCTAGGATGTGAAGAACGTTCTGATTGAAGTCGTCTGGCTGGTCAGCAAACACATAGTGACCTCCTCCCCTTATCACCTAGAGAGAAAGAGAGAGAGAGAGAGACACAGAGAGAGAGAGAGACGAGAGAGAGAGGAGAGAGAGAGGAGAGAGGAGAGAGAGAGAGAGGAGAGAGAGAGAGAGCGAAGAGAGAGAGAGAGAGAGAGAGGAGAGAGATTGAAGTGAGGGATAGAAAGACAGAAAAAGAGAAACACTTCACATTCAAAAACAACAACCGTACATTGCTGTGTGTGAATGACCAGTCTATTTCATAACGCATTCAGAAAACTTGGTACATGAATCATTAACTCACGATGATGTCCACATCTGGTCTGATTTTCCGGACAGTGTATCCCGAGTCGCTTGGCGATAACTGGGATCGGGACCGTAGATGATGGATATGGGAATGTCTGGTCGGATCTGACCAATACGATCTAACATCGGTCTCTTAGCCCACCCATATGGTACTGTCATGTTCCTAAACGCGTCTTCAACTTATGGACAGAGAATGGGTGTTAGTGTGTGTGTGTGCGCGTACATTTGTGTGTGTGTGTATGTGTGTGTGTACCTACCTGGGTGTCTGTGCGTTAAGATGGTAGATGTAGTCTGATACAGTGTTGTCATCGAACACTGAAGAGTACTTCTGTTTAAAATCTGACCTGATGGTCTGGATCAACATAGGACCTGAGAGAGAGAAGAAGAGGAGAAGGAGGAAGGAATGGATTGGGAGAGAGGATGGGGGGAGGAATGTGGGGAGGAATATATTATATTAACACCTTTGGTTTTGCAACATCTGGTAATTCTTTCAACTTGGGTTTGTGTGGGTGTTTGTGCGCATGCATGTAGTGTATGCGATGTGTGTGTAGTATACGTGCTTGCGGTGTGTGTGTGTGTGTGTGTGTGTGTGTGTATATCGTACCCAGTGGTCCGGCCAGTCTAAGTCCAGCCAGGGGGTTGAAGGGACTCATGACAGCCCCCATGGCTCTGATCCACACTGGGATTGACTTCTCCTGATCTAGGCTCTCTGGACGGGCCGGGAACCCCCAGGGCTCCACCAGGATCAACTGCTTTACCCTGTAAACACACACAGTGTGAACATGTGTATGAACACACACACACACTACCTCTCCTCGCTCTCCTCTCTCTCACCTGTGTGGGTGTATGAGTGTATAAGCAGCAGCCAGATATCCTCCCAGGTTGTGTCCCATTAGGACTATCTCCTCCAGGCCCATCCTGTCTCTCCACTCATCCAAGGCCCCTAGGAACTGCTCCTCTGCCCCCTGGGGGTCCACGCTGAATAGGGGCCGGCTGCTCTGTCCGAAACCCAGCAGATCCAGGGCATACACGGCTCCACTGCCACACAGAGAGTCCAGGTTCTGGGCCCACAGACCCACACCACCCCCAAACCCATGGAGCAGCACCAGGGGAGGATGGAGCTGGGGCTGGAGAGAGGGCTGGGGAGAAGAGGGATGGGGCTGGGGTGATAGAGAGGGATGGGGCTTGGGCTGAGGCTGAGGCTGGGGTGGGAGAGAGGGATGGGGCTTGGGCAGAGGCTGGGGTGGGAGAGAGGGATGGGGCTTGATGTGAGAGGTGAAGGCTAAGGTCCAGAGATAGTTGCCTTTGGATATCCGGACATGCTGCCTGGAGAATGGGGTCTTCACAGCTGAGAGAAGAGAGAGGGATGGAGGAGAAAGAGAGGGAACAGGGAGGGAGGGAGAGTGTGATAAGAGAGAAGATGAGATGTGCAAGTATGATAGTTAGGAGGGGATACACACACACACTCTTACACTTTAGCATTTTATCTTCTGCATCCTTCAGCTGAGAGAGGGAGGTGGGACACCAGGATGGAAGCCAACTGGAGATCCACCCAGACCTGCACACACACACACACGTAATGATCACGCTGATATTCTCCAAGAAAACTCAATAAGTGAACTTTGACCTCTAACTAGCTCTGACCAGCTATCACTGAGTCAGACTTCCAAAACAAGACAGCATTATAGAAAACTTCTACAATAATGTCCGCTGTCTACAGTAGTCTAGTTATTTAAATAGTACATGTTTTATTTAAATTAAACAAAGAAAAAACGACATTCAAACCAATGTGCACCAAGGTCTCCCTCTGGCTAAATAGTAAGATACTAATCTATTGGGTAATAATTTCAGTGTAATAAAAACAACTTCCATGATATCTCTCTTAAGTTTAGTTACAGGTTTGAAAAACATTCTGAATGTCACAAAGTTATGTGGCTGGCTACTAGGATGACTGGTGGTTGTGTGTCTGTCTTCATAGTGATATCCAAGGTCAAATAATCTTATCTTCACTGAATTGTCATTCTGTAATAAATACTGTAACTACAGTCAAAGGTCCATGTGATGTAGCGGCACCAAGTTCACAGGAATGAATATTTTCCTTTGTCAAGGCATATCATTTAATAAAAAACAAAAAAACATACATCATCTAAAATATTTCAGTGAACTAAAGGGTTTAATGGAAGAGGCGCAATAGGTGTTTTAATTATAGTACTTCATCAAGTAATTAGGCATTTTAAAATATCGTTTACAACATGTTTACTTTGTAGACATACTGCGCAACGAAGTTGGCTAGCCTATCATTCCTTAAAGCGTATTCTGTAAATTATGGATTTGGAACTCTTTAGAATAGCGCACCATAATAATTTGGTTAAAAGTATCATATTCAAACCTAGGCCTACTCACCCTTGCTCGGCTGGTTGCAGCTCCTTCGACATCCTCCTCATAGTGAACTGTGATGATTATCTGTAATCCACGCAGAGAAACAAGATAGGAGTGGTGATTGGCAAGAGAGAGAGAGAGACTGCCTCACACACACACACACCTTTAGGCGCAATAGTAGCTAATAGATATGTTAGAGAAGGAATTGAAATATAATTCGACTCGACGCTGTTTTCTGTCATATCACCGAATTTGTAACTCGCTATGTTATTGGCTGAATTGCAGCACGTTGCCTATAGATATATAGATCATGCAGTTGATTCCAGCTACAGCACCGGGTAGCCTTCCCTGAAGTAGGATTTCACAGAAGTTTGATTTTTCGGAGAAACTTGCCAACACTGCGCGCCACGCGAACAAGGGAAATCGAGCGGATACTCGTTTCCATGGGTGTTTGCTTTGTTTTAACAAATAGGTGAGAGTCCCATTTGAGACTGTTTTCAGATCATATACATTCTAATCCACTATAAAATACATATCTCTTGCCAGTGTATGCGAACAAGGGAGGGAAGCAGGAAGCATTGACTTTATTTTTCAGTAGTAGGGTACTAGGGGGTAACTAATTGCTGACACAAAAACGCAACTTCTGGAGAAAAAAATGTTATGTGGATGAAGGTCATGCTTAGGCGAATAAACTATAAAGGGAAATGAATGGCTACAGTTTACACTTTTGTAGTTATTGAATGAAATGTTGTTTTTAGAATAGGGGCAATTAGAAGTTTAAGGCATAGGGTTTTACACAAGTGTGTTAAAGTTCATTTAATCAGTTTATTAGGAAATGATTTAGTAAGTAATACTTAAAAGCTAAGTGTAGTTGTCTTATTTTAATTATTTAAATAAAATATGGGGGGGGGGGGTTCACATGTCACCCTTAATATCCTCACTATGAGGAGAGTCCCTATTTTTAACTCACCTGCACATACATTTTCTTTGTTCTTTGTTGTTCCTTTCCCATACAATCCATTATGTACAATTGCAGTAAATATTATTTGAATAATGTAAGATTTTAAATCCCAGCACTTTAAAATGACATACAGGAGCAAAAGGTTTTAATAGTTGTTTTTAATTCATTAAGAAATATATTAATTGGAACATAATATTGGAATGGAATATAATGGCTCCTAACCAATTGTGCTATTTTGTGTGTTTTTTTCGCATTGTTTGGAACTTATTTTGTACGTAATGTTGACGCTACCGTCTCTTATGACTGAAAAGAGCTTCTGGATATCAGAACAGCGATTACTCACCAAAGACAAATATTTTTTATTTAATGAGTCTGACGTGAAGGATATAATGTTGCTCCCGGACAAGGGCCAAATCCCCGTCATTCGCATGAAGAAAAGAAGGAGATACAGGGGGCGGAGATCAGGGTGCCTTGTGAGAATTTGTCTGCGAGTGGGTAACCCGCCTCTACCATCCGTTCTATTGGCCAACGTGCAATCAATGGAGAATAAACTGGATGAGCTCCTTTGGAGACTATCCTACCAACGGGACATTCAAAACTGTAATATCTTGTGTTTCACGAGTCGTGGCTGAACGACGACACGGATAATATACAGTTGGCTGGGTTTTCCGTGCATCGGCAGGACAGAACAGCTACATCCCGTAAGACGAGGGGTGGGGGTGTGTGTCTATTTGACAATAACAGCTGGTACGTGATGTCTAATATTAAGGTAGTCTCAAGGTATTGCTCGCCTGAGGTAGAGTACCTCACGATAAGCTGTAGACCACACTATCTACCAAGAGAGTTTTCATCTATATTTTTTTGTGGCCGTCTATTTACCACCACAAACCGACGCTGGCACTAAGACCGCACTCAACGAGTTGTATAAGGCCATAAGCAAACAAGAAAATGCTCATCCAGAAGTGGTGCTCCTAGTGGCCGGGGACTTTAATGCAGGCAAACTTAAATCCGTTTTACCTAATTTCTACCAGCATGTCACATCTGCAGGGAAAAAAACTCTAGACCACCTTTACTCCACACACAGACACGTGTACAAAGCTCTCCCTCGCCCTCCATTTGGCAAATCTGACCATAATTATATCCTCCTGATTCCTGCTTACAAGCAAAAACTAAAGCAGGAAGTACCAGTGACTTGCTCAATACGGAAGTGGTCAGATGATGCGGATGCTACGCTACAGGACTGTTTTGCTAGCACAGACTGGAATATGTTCCGGGATTCATCCAGTGGCATTGAGGAGTATACCACCTCAGTCACCGACTTCATCAATAAGTGCATCGACAACGTTGTCTCCACAGTGACCGTACGTACATTTCCCATCCAGAAGCCATCGATTACAGGCAACATCCACACCAAGCTAAAGGCTAGAGCTGCCGCTTTCAAGGAGCGGGACACTAATCCGGATCCCGCTATGCCCTCAGACAAACCATCAAACAGGCAAAGCGTCAATACAGGACTAAGATTGAATCCTACTACACCGGCTCTGACGCTCGTCGGATGTGGCAGGTTTTGCAAACTATTACAGACTACAAAGGGAAAACCAGCCGCAAGCTGCCCAGTGACGCGAGCCTACCAGACGGGCTAAATGCCTTTTATGCTTGCTTCGAGGCAAGCAACACTGAAGCATGCATGAAAGCACCAGCTGTTTTGGGCGACTGTGAGCAAGACCTTTAAACAGGTCAACATTCACAAGGTCGCGGGGCCAGACGAATTACCAGGATGTGTACTCAGAGCATGCGTGGACCAACTGGCAAGTGCATTCACTGACATTTTCAACCTCTCCCTGACCGAGTCTGTAATACCTACATCATGTTTCAAGCAGACCACCATAGTCCCTGTGCCCAAGAAAGCGAAGGTAACCTGCCTAAATGACTACCGCCCTGTAGCACTAACGTAGGTAGCCATGAAGTGCTTTGAAAGGTTGGTCATGGCTCACATCAATAATAATAATAATAATAATAATAAACATCAACACCATCATCCCGGAAACCCTAGACCCACTGCAATTTGCATACAGCCCCAACAGATCCACAGATGACGCAATCTCAAATGCACTCCACACTGCCCTTTCCGACCTGGACAAAAGGAACACCTATGTGAGAATGCTGTTCATTGACTACAGCTCAGCGTTCAACAACATAGTGCCCTCAAAGCTCATCACTAAGCTAAGGACCCTGGGACTAAACACCTCCCTCTGCACCTGGATCCTGGTCTTCTTGACGGGCCGCCCCCAGGTGGTAACGGTAGGCAACAACACATCTGCCACGCTGATCCTCAACACTGGGGTCCCTCAGGGGTTCGTGCTTAGTCCCCTCCTGTACTCCCTGTTCACCCACGACTGCATGGCCAAGCACGACTCTAACACCATCATTAAGTTTGCTGACGACACAACAGTGGTAGGCCTGATCACCGACAACGATGAGACAGCCTATAGGGAGGAGGTCAGATACCTGGCAGTGTGGTGCCAGGACAACAACCTCTCCCTCAACATGAGCAAGACAAATGAGATGATCGTGGACTACAGGAAAAGGAGGGCCGAACACACCCCCATTCACATCGACGGGGCTGTAGTGGAGCGGGTTGAGAGTTTCAAGTTCCTTTTGTCCACATCACCAACAAACTATCTTGGTCCAAACACACCAAGAAAGTTGTGAAGAGGGCACGACAACACATTTTCCCCCTCAGGAGACTGAAAAGATTTGGCATGGGTCCTCAGATCCTGAAAAAGTTATACAGCTGCACCATCAAGAGCATCCTGACCGGTTGCATCACCGCCTGGTATGGCAACTGCTCAGCATCCGACCGTAAGGCGCTACAGAGGGTAGTGCGTACGGCCCAGTACATCACTGGGGCCAAACTTCCTGCCATCCAGGACCTATATACTAGACGGTGTCAGAGGAAGGCCCAAAAAAATTCAAACACTCCAGTCACCCAAGTCATAGACTGTTCTCTCTGCTACAGCACGGCAAGCGGTACCGGAGCACCAAGTCTAGGTCCAAAAGGCTCCTTAACAGCTTCTACCCCCAAGCCATAAGACTGCTGAACAATTAATCAAATGGCCACCCAGACTATTTGGATTGACACGCCCCAGTTTTTACACTGCTGCTATTCACCGTTTATTATCTATGCATAGTCACTTTACCCCTACCTAAATGTACAAATTACCTCGACTAACCTGTACCCCCGCACATTGACTCGGTACCGGTACCCCCTGTATGTAGCCTCATTATTGTTATTTTATTGTAACTTTAAAAAAAAGAAAAACTTAACTTTAGTTGATTTAGTAAATATTTTCTTAACTCTATTTTCTTAAAACTTAATTGTTGGTTAAGGGCTTGTAAGTAAGCATTTCACAGGTTGTATTCGGCGCATGGGACAAATAAAATCGTATTTGATTTGAACTAATAACATTAAAGAACATTGGAATATAACATTTAATAACAATAACTTAACTAATTAACTCAGTGTAACATTGATGTGGCAACTCTCTTATGCTCTGCCATTGCACAATTCTAATTTTGTACATAGGTCACAAATAAAGCTATCCATTTACATTTAGATTTAAGTAATTTAGCAGACGCTCTTATCCAGAGCGACTTACAAATTGGTGCATTCAACTTAGCATAGCCAGTGGGACAACCACCACTGGGGGAGGGGGGTGTAGAAGGATTACTGTTAGACTATTCCAGGTATTCCTTAAAGAGGTAGGGTTTCAAGTGTCTCCGGAAGGTGGTCAGTGACTCCGCTGTCCTGGCGTCGTGGGGGAGCTTGTTCCACCATTGGGGTGCCAGAGCAGCGAATAGCTTTGACTGAGCTGAGCGGGAACTGTGCTTCCGTAGAGGTAGGGGGCTAGCAGGCCAGAGGTGGATGAACGTAGTGCCCTCGTTTGGGTGTAGGGTCTGATCAGAGCCTGAAGGTAAGGAGGTGCCGTTCCCCTCACAGCTCCGTAGACAAGCACCATGGCTTTGTAGTAGATGGGAGCTTCAACTGGAAGCCAGTGGAGTGTGCGGAGGAGCGGGGTGACATGAGAGAACTTGGGAAGGTTGAACACCAGACAGGCTGCAGCGTTCTGTATAAGTTGTAGGGGTGAGCCATCCTCAGGAAAGTACACATGATCAGACGAGGAAAGAGCAGTAGGAGTAGCAGTGTTTTCTGTGGTAATCCATGTTTCCGTCAGTGCCAAGAAGTCGAGAGACTGGAGGGTAGCATAGGCTGAAATGAACTCTGCCTTGTTGGCCGCAGAATGGCTGTTCCAGAGGCTGCCGGAGACAGATTAGAGCACAACTCATGAGCCCACCTCCTGCACTGCTCACACCTAATCCACTCTCCACCTGTGACAACAAAAAAGGGGAGAGATGCCAATTGAAAGCTCTCTCTTAAAAACATAGCTAGCTATCTTATCTTTTTTATGTATTTTACCTCAGACAATCTGGTAGTAAGGTTGCTAACTAGCACTCCTAGCAGCTTATGCTAACTAGCTAGCTGGCTAGCATTTACTGCTAGTGAAGTTGCTAGCTAACAAGTTAGCATAAACTAGCGCTAACTGGGATAGTCAACTGGGGGGGGCGAGTTGCCCCCAACATACTCATCCAACATATTACTACTTTAGTTACCCCCTAGTACCCTAATGTGGACTCTGGGTCAGCCTTAGCCCTTGATCATGACTCTCAGTTCCATTACATTACACATAAAAGTCATTGGAGGAAGGCGTCTTCTGTAGGGGGGACTTTTGTTAAAAGCCGCAACGCTCGGCCTGAACATTAACACGCATCGCTTGCGGTATAGTTTTGGAAGCATACAGACTATCTGTCGTATTAGCGTGAAATAATTTACAAAAAAAAGGTGAAATTGATACACACCTTTTATAGGGTTAAGGTTTCCACACAGCCATATTTCCATGTTACAGCGCTTGTTTACGGAAAACAGATGGAACACCTTCCGAGTGGACTACCTGTGCTAATTAGCTATCTGCATCTCCAAACACCTGTGTGTAAATGAAGACAGACACCACAAACATGTTGTCACTGAGAGATACTGTCGGCTGCAACTGTGTGAAAACCAGTTAAAACAGTGTACAGTAAGTATGTATTTTGCTTTTGTGAAATTATTTTTATGTGATATGAAAGTAGAGGGATTTATGTTTCTAGAACCATACCGCAATTGAGAATCGATTCACGTTTAGATGGAGTATTTGGCTGTTTTGGCTTCCAGAGACAAAACAGCCAAAGGTCCTTGGACTAAGGAGTAGCGTTAGGCTCCTTTAGTCCGATATTGGGCTACTGTAGGTCAGCCTTAGTTGTGAAATGAAGGAGAGAGTCAGTGGAAGGTAGAACAGTGAGATAAACCTCTCATTACCGCACTTTACTATGGACTTTACATTTTCTTCTTAGAAATAAGAGTAGGCTAAAACAACAATTTTGTATCTGTTTTAAAAACACCTTTTATTGCTCTTGATTTAGTAAATATGTGACCTAGTTTAAATTCAAGTCATAGTACTGTTATTGCAACAGTTTAAAATGAAGCAGGATTATTGTGTCAACAATCTGACAGATAAACATAATATATATATATTACTATTCACAAACACCAAGAAAAAACAAAAAAATATTCCTGGTTTCACAGCACAGTGTGATGATAAACTCTCTATTGATTAAGTAAATTTAGTTTACAGTGTCTGTCAACTTCAGTCTGTTTACATATGTTTTATTCATGACTAAAATGTGAGCATCTGTGTTTATCTGTATTGTGTGTGTGTTCCTCCAGGACCCAGAGGTCTATTTTATCTGGCACAGGGACAATGAGGAGCCAACCCAAAGGCCAAACCCTGGGTAGAGGGGCTCAGTGAATGTTGAGTGGAATGTGTGCATTTTCCAGACAGTGTATCCCGAGTCACTGTCGATACTGGATCGGGACCCGTAGATGATGGATATGGGAATGTCTGGTCGGATCTGACCAATACGATCTAACATCGATCTCTTAGCCCAACCATATGGTACTGTCATGTTCCTAAACGCTGTTTCACCACTATGGACAGAGAATGGGTGTTAGTGTGTGTGTGTGCACACGCGTTTGTGTGTGTATGTGTATGTGTGTGTGTACCTACCTGGGTGTCTGTGCGTTAAGATGGTAGATGTAGTCTGATACAGTGTTGTCATCGAACACTGAAGAGTACTTCTGTTTAAAATCAGGATCAAGTGCTTTACCCTGTAAACACACACACACACACACACACTACCTCTCCTCACTCTCCTCTCTCTCACCTGTGTGGGTGTGTGAGTGTATAAGCAGCAGCCAGATATCCTCTCAGGTTCTGTCCCAGCAGGACTATCTCCTCCAGGCCCACACCACCCCTAAACCCATGGAGCAGCACCAGGGGAGGATGGAGCTGGGGCTGAAGAGAGGGCTGGGGAGAAGAGGGATGGGGCTGGGGTTGTAGAGAGGTATGGGGCTGAGGCTGGGGTGGGAGAGAGGGATGGGGCTGAGGCTGGGGTGGGAGAGAGGGATGGGGCTGAGGCTGGGGTGGGAGAGAGTGATGAGACTGAGGCTGGGGCTGAGGCTGGGGTGGGATAGAGGGATGTGTCTTAATGTGAGAGGTGAAGGCTAAGTTCCAGAGATAGTTGCTGTTGTATATCTGGACATGCTGCCTGGAGAATGGGGTCTTCACAGCTGAGAGAAGAGAGAGGGACAGAGGGAACAGGGAGGGAGAGCGTGATAAGAGAGAAGATGAGATGTGCAAGTATGATAGTTAGGAGGGGATGCACACACACACTCTTACACTTGAGCATTTTGTCTTCTGCATCCTTCAGCTGAGAGAGGGAGGTGGGACACCAGGATGGAAGCCAACTGGAGCTCCACCTGGACCTGCACAAACACACACACATGTTCTCGAAGTAAACTCAATAAGTTAACTTTGACCTTTAGTTTTGTTTGTCAGACTACACAAACAAGATAGCCTTATAACAAACTCCTAAAATAATGTTGTTTTCAAAAGTCTCATGGAATGTAGGCCTACATTGAACACCACACATTGGCTGCTACTGTAGGCTTACTGATGGAACAGCTATTTCCATGTTAAAATGTTATAGGATGCATTTTTCTCCATTGTTTTTGATGGTAGGCCACTCTGGTAGGCCTACATTATGATCAAATAGCCACAGTACCCTACATGGCCAATGTTATAACTGTAACTTAAAGCGGGTACAGCCTCAGTGTTCACAGTAAACGCGTGCCAGAAGTTGCACAGAATTTTGTGCTCAGCAGACCTTAAATTTGCTCAGTGCCGAAAAAAAATAGAGGGAACATTTGTCCTCTGTCTACAGTAGTATAGCTATTTAAATAGTACATGTTTTATTTAAATTGAACAAAGAAAAAACTACATTCCAACCAATGTGCAACAAGGTCTCCCTCTGGCTAAATGGTAAGATAGGGTAGGCTACTAATCTATTGGGTGTAACATAATTTCAGTGTAACACATTTTTTAAAAAAGATTCCATGGTGTTATATTTCTCTTTAGTTTAATTACAGGTTGAAAAACATTCTGAATGTCACAAAGTTATGTGACTGGCTACTAGGATGACTGGTGGTTGTGTGTCTGTCTTCATAGTGATATCCAAGGTCAAATAATCTTATCTTCACTGAATTGTCATTCTGTAATAAATACTGTAACTACAGTCAAAGGTCCATGTGATGTAGCGGCACCAAGTTCACAGGAAGGAATATTTTCCTTTGTCAAGGCATATACAGTTGAAGTCGGAAGTTTACATGCACTTAGGTTGGAGTCATTAAAACCCGTTTTTCAACCACTCCACAAATTTCTTGTTAACAAACTGTAGGTTCGGCAAGTCGGTTAGGACATCTACTTTGTGCATGACACAAGTCATTTTTCCAAAAATTGTTTACAGACAGATTATTTCACTTATAATTCACTGTATCACAATTCCAGTGGGTCAGAAGTTTACATACACTAAGTTGACTGTGCCTTTAAACAGCTTGGAAAATTCCAGAAAATGATGTCATGGCTTTAGAAGCTTCTGATAGGCTAATTGACATCATTTGAGTCAATTGGAGGTGTACCTGTGGATGTATTTCAAGGCCTACCTTCAAACTCAGTGCCTCTTTGCTTGACATCATGGGAAAATCAAAAGAAATGAGCCAAGACCTCAGAAAAACAATTGTAGACCTCCACAAGTCTGGTTCATGCTCTACCCAAAATTACAACCAAATAATTGCAGCCTTACCGCAAAAGTGGAAGAGGAAAGTTGAAGGGGGAGAAAGTAAGGAACTTGTCTGTCGGTCTTGCATTAAAGAACATAATTGGTTAAGGAAAACTGTGATAAATAAAAAAGTATATCAGTTTCACTTAAGGACCAAAGGATTGACAGCCGTCCCATATAGATTGCAAAATAGTTGGGAAGAGATCTTTGACGTACCGATCCCATGGCATAGTGTTTATGAACTGACACGCAAAACGACACCGGATTCAAAAATTAGAATCTTTCAATTTAAATTATTATATAAAATTCACAGATTTTGCTGTGAAGAGACAGAATCATTAGATCATTTGTTTTGGTTCTGTCCATTTGTAGCTTGTTTTTGGACACAGGTCCAGGAATGGCTAAAGGATTGCAATATTTACCTGGAACTAACCTTGCAGATAGCATTACTGGGTGATCTGAAAAGTCATAGTCAATCAATCAATAATATAATAATACTTTTAGCAAATCACAATCTGTAGAAGCAATGAGAATAGAAAGGTTCAGAACTTTTGTAAAACATCACAGTACGGTTGAAATATATATGGCAAATAGAAATCCTATATGGATGGTGTTAAGAGATAGATGGGAGGTATTGAATAGAGTTGAAGGATGGGACTAATAACAAATAACAACAAATAATAACAAAGATAGCTAATAATGTAAGCATACTGTGTCCATAATAAGTATATAGGTTGTATGTTGGGAGCTTTTGGGAAAGAGCACAGTTAGAAAGATATGGCATTTAGAAGCAAACCGGATGGACATCATGAAAATGATCGGAGAGGTTGAGAGTAGAAGAAGTTCAGGAGCAAAAAAAATATATATATATATATATATATATATATAGAATTATTGTAAAATTAACTCTGTCCATAAGGTGTAGATAGTAAGTATAGACCGGAAGTAGAGGCCTGGGCGTTGTTGTTCACTAATTTACTCCAAGTAGGGAAAGGATGGTGGGGTTGAAAAGTAATAAAGGGGAATATATATATAAAAAATTTAAAAAAACATGGGGGATTGGAAGTGATGCAGACAATTACATTGATAGAAGATACAATCTATCTGCAATATTAAGCTGATCCATTCCCCCCGAAAAAAATAAATAAATAAAAAGTCTGGTTCATCCTTGGGAGTAATTGCCAAACGCCTGAAGGTACCACGTTCATCTGTACAAACAATAGTATGCAAGTATAAACACCATGGGACCACGTGGCTGTCATACCGCTCAGGAAGGTGATGAGTTCTGTCTCCTAGAGATTAACGTACTTTGGTGCGAAAAGTGCAAATCAATCCCAGAACAACAGCAAAGGACCTTGTGAAGATGCTGGAGGAAACAGGTACAAAAGTATCTATATCCACAGTAAAACGAGTCCTATATCGACATAACCTGAAAGGCCGCTCAGCAAGGAAGAAGCCACTGCTCCAAAACCGCCATAAAAAAGCCAGACTATGGTGAAACAAAAATAGAACTGTTTGGCCATAATGACCATCGTTATGTTTGGAGGAAAAGGGGGGTCGGCTTGCAAGCCGAAGAACACCATCCCAATCGTGACGCACGGGGGTGGCAGCATCATGCTGTGGGGGTGCTTTGCTGCAGGAGGGACTGGTGCACTTCACAAAATAGATGGCATCATGAGGAAGGAAAACTATGTGGATATATTGAAGCAACATCTAAAGATATCAGTCAGGAAGTTAAAGCTTGGTCGCAAATGGGTCTTCCAAATGGACAATGACAACAAAGTCAAGGTATTGGAGTGGCCAAGCTTTAAGTATAGAAAATGTGTGGGCAGAACTGAAAAAGCGTGTGCGAGCAAGGAGGCCTACAAACCTGACTCAGTTACACCAGCTCTGTCAGGAGGAATGGCAATTCATGTCGATACCTAGGTTTCCATCATTTTGTTGAAAGATTTTCAAGTAAATATTCTAATATTCTCACACATAAAATATGCAGATTTTACCAGCAGCGGTCTGTTTCCATCAAACTGGCTTCTTGCAAATATAAAGCACTTTGTCTAATAACTTTTAATTTACTGAATACCATTTTTGACACCCTACTTGATGATTTTGGCACAAAAAGTCTGCGATAAACAGCAAATGTGCACACTCTGGTCTTGGCATGTGCACTCTAGCCAACAGCTCGCAGATATAGCACAGAGGGTAGAGGCCTAAGCTTTATGATATGGATAAGAGCAAGAGCGTTTTCATTTGTCAATTGAATGCCAAGCACTGATCATCATGTCACCAGCATAAATGAGGAACCTCGATATTTATTGGAAATGAGCATCAAGCTCATCATCACTGTGCACTTTCACCACCCTATGAAGTTCACTATTTAATCTGTAGCCGAATAAACTATGCAGTGTGGATGCTTTTCCAAGTCGTACTTGGAGGACCACACAACAAAGCATCGCATGACTGCAAGTTTACTGCGACATTGTGGTTATTCTATCCCCAAAAAATGTGCATCAAAGCGTTTCCACTGCATTTGTAGCATGATCTATTTCACAGACATACATTTTTGGAAAGTTAACCGAAAATGTAACTGTTTTCATCAGGATTGTTTTTTTTTATCCGACATGTTTTTATCCGACATTTTACTCACATAAAAATGGCTGGATGGGAAACATTGTTTAAAAAATATTTTCTCTCATTCTGCAGTTTGTAAACTTTGAAACAAAACAAACTGTACAATTGGGTGCTTTCAAAAAATAACCTGAAGGCCTACTGCAGCACAGGTGAAAACATTTGCTTCGAAAGTGAATGTAACTGCACTGTCCGTCAGGAGCATATTAAGAACACATATTCATTACATGGGTTATTGTTAGATGAATACTGATTAACTTGGCGTCCTCCTGCGAGAGTTTGTCACATTATTAATGTACCTGTGCTGCTGCACAGGCATTTAGAAAAGTTTTGAATGCATGCATCTTTATGCCTATTATTGATATCTAGATTTAGTGAACATCACAACAATCATCACTTGATGAAAAGGTACAGAAACAGCAACCTCAGGGTCTCCAGTTTACAGTGTGGAATAGCAACCTCAGGGTCTCCAGTTTACAGTGTGGAATAGCAACCTCAGGGTCTCCAGTTTACAATGTGGAATAGCAACCTCAGGGTCTCCAGTTTACAATGTGGAATAGCAACCTCAGGGTCTCCAGTTTACAGTGTGGAATAGCAACCTCAGGGTCTCCAGTTTACAATGTGGAATAGCAACCTCAGGGTCTTCAGTTTACAATGTGGAATAGCAACCTCAGGGTCTCCAGTTTACAGTGTGGAATAGCAACCTCAGGGTCTCCAGTTTACAATGTGGAATAGCAACCTCAGGGTCTTCAGTTTACAGTGTGGAATAGCAACCTCAGGGTCTCCAGTTTACAGTGTGGAATAGCAACCTCAGGGTCTCCAGTTTACAGTGTGGAATAGCAACCTCAGGGTCTTCAGTTTACAGTGTGGAATAGCAACCTCAGGGTCTTCAGTTTACAGTGTGGAATAGCAACCTCAGGGTCTTCACTTTACAATGTGGAATAGCAACCTCAGGGTCTCCAGTTTACAATGTGGAATAGCAACCTCAGGGTCTCCAGTTTACAGTGTGGAATAGCAACCTCAGGGTCTTCAGTTTACAATGTGGAATAGCAACCTCAGGGTCTCCAGTTTACAGTGTGGAATAGCAACCTCAGGGTCTTCAGTTTACAATGTGGAATAGCAACCTCAGGGTCTCCAGTTTACAATGTGGAATAGCAACCTCAGGGTCTCCAGTTTACAGTGTGGAATAGCAACCTCAGGGTCTTCAGTTTACAATGTGGAATAGCAACCTCAGGGTCTCCAGTTTACAGTGTGGAATAGCAACCTCAGGGTCTTCAGTTTACAGTGTGGACTCCCCAGTCCAGCAGAGAGCAGCTTCACTCCTGAATCCCGCAGGTCGTTGTCACTCAAGGTCCAGTTCTCTTAGGTGTGAGGAGTTTGAGTTGAGAACTGAGACAAGCGCTACACAGCATCTCTGTGAGGCTACACCTATAAGAAATATAAATAGGCCAAGCTTATCATTAACATGTCATTTATATTAACAACATGTAATTGTATACCTTTAGTAATACAAATGAATGGTTTCTTCTGTTCTTTGTCATATGTCTATTTTACGTATCGATGAACTTACAGAGCTGTTCTTGAGACATTCACTACTGGCAGCAGCCTCAGAAGACTCTCCTCTGATCTGGAGTATTTCTTCAGATCGAACACATCCAGCTCCTTCTTTGAAGTCAGTAACACAAAGACCAGAGCTGAACACTGTGCAGGGGAGAGTTCTGAGAGACTTCCTGACCTCCACTAGAGAATGGTCATTCAGCTCATTCAGTTAGTGTAACAGATTGACGCACCTCTCTGGATAGTGATTCTCCCTGATCTTTTTCTTGATGTACTTGACTGTTACCTCATTTCTCTGTGACTTGTTTCCTGTTTGTGTCAGTAGCCCTCATAGAAGAGTCTTATTGGACTCCAGAGAGAGGCCCAGAAGGAAGCGGAGGAACAGGGTCAGGTGTCCATTCTCACTCTGTAAGGCCTTGTGCACTGCACTCTTGTGGAGGTTGGTTGTAGGATTTTCATTGAACATCTTCAGAATTTTTTGTGAGGTTGGTTTATTTTTTGTCATCAGATTAACATCGCTGTTGTTAAATGAGAGAAACACATACAGAGCGGCAAGGAAGTCCTGAATGGTCAGATGCACAAAGCAGTACACCTTTTCCTAGTACAGCCCACACTCATCTCTGAAGATCTGAGTGCACAATCCTGAGTATAGTGATGCTTCACTGATGTCGATATCACACTTAGTCAGGTCTTCCTTATAGAAAACCAGATTGCCTTTTTCAAGCTGTTCAAAAGCCAGTTTTCCCAGTGCCAGAATGCTCTCTTTATTCCAGCGTAGATCAGTCTCACCTTCCCTTTGATACTTCACATTTGTCTATTTGGACTGACATTCTTGGGTATCTTTTCTATCTTATCTGTATTGAACATGTGCTCAATGACTGTAGCAGAAATCCAACACAGCACTGGTATGTGGCTTCAGGAATGTGACCGTAAAAGTGAAAAAGAAAAAATGTACTGATTGAAAGTATGAGGGGATATCAGTGAACAAATGCCGCGGTCAAGGCTACGATGGTGCCAGTGCAATGAGTGGAGCTTACTCAGGTGTTCAAAAGCGCATGTCAGACCGAGAGCCTAATGCTTATTAGGTAGTTCTTTATGAGTTTTAGTTTAGAAAACGATCTCTCCGCAGAAGCAACAGTTACAGGATGGTAAAACCAGCTTGATTGCCATAGCAACATCAGGGAAACTGGGCAGAAGGGAGTTGTGCTTCAAATATTCTCCTTAATTGCCGGCCTCAACATGTTACGGAATGAGATTAACTGTTGTTACGGATACAGGTATCCTGTATGTGTTTTTGTGTTTTTCCTCTCCTCCTGCCCTATTCACAGGTGTCCTTTGTGTTCCTGATTGGAGGTCGTTGGTGTGTCCCACCTGTCAGTCATCAGTTAATCTGCTGATTGCTGAGGTGGACCAATCAGTGGACATTTCTCCTGATTGCACCACCTGTTTCTGTTTTCTTACCCAATCATATCACACATCCCCTTGTGTTAAAAGCTAGTCAGTTGTGTTTGCTGACAGACTCTTTTTGTTTGTGAGTATGTATACGGTGGTGTCTTGTTTTTGTGTACTCAATCGTTAACTGTTTAGTCTGTATGGTACCTATATTGTTTGTTTGTTCCTGGGAAAAGGGGGATTTAGCAAGTCGCCCTTGGGCATACACTACCCGTAGGAAAACCTTGTCTAAACACACTAGTTAGACCTGAGTGGACCACCCACTGTATTTTTGTATGGTTAGCAGTAAGCTTAGTAGTTCTTGAGGCAGGCAAGATCAGTTTAGGGGTTTTTGACTTTAATGTTTCATTCCTTGGGTCCAACTCAGCCCCTTTTCCCCAAACCATTTACCGTGTGTTTTATAATAAACATTTTGTGTTTGACGGTAACATTTGGTTGTTGGCGTATTTTGTTCTCACTGTTCCTTGGCAATAGCCTAATTTGCATGAGTTATGTTACGGGCCTCTTTTCCATCCACCCTAGACTTTTAAAGCCACAGGGTTCGTAACAACTGTATAGGAAGCTCTAGGGGCAGGTCGTCTGGATACTGGACAGCCAATAAATTGGCAGATGCAAAGAGATTATCATCTTTAGGGACTGTACGTTATTTATAATGAGGGAAACCTGGAGAAAATTGACCTTTTTAAATGAAAATGGATAGCCCTTCCTTCAGTAAAATATATTTATACACGACCCTCCCTGAACGCTTGAAAAAAATAATAAAAAATTACACTCCCCAATACCCAAAATAATAATTGAGGACATGCCTACCCTCACTCGTAGGACAGACCAGAGCCTACAGTATATACAGTTTTAGTGTTCTTCGTTTTGTAAGCATTACATGGCAAAGTGGCCTGAAGGTTGTAGATTTGCAGACCACAACAGACAAGGGTAGGGGTAATAAAAGCACTGTATGAATCTATCATTTTATTCATGTCATTGTGCTTAGTCATGGAACACATGATCATCTTATGTATGAGGAAATTCAACACGATCTATTCTATAGTTCTGTGTAGTGCAAAAATACTCACCTAAAATCCTTTTACTCTCATAACTAGGTGGTTATATCTCATGGAAACACTTTCATCATGCTAATACACATCTATTTCGGACTCCTTCTGCTACTATCAAACTTTAGCAACAGACCTTTACAGTTGTTGCGACAGTACTTCCATAATGCTTTATTTTACTGGTCTAATTTAGCTGTTACTGGCTAGTATACTAGATAATATATAAAGTGCCTTGCAAAAGTATTCATCCCCCTTGGCATTTTTCCTATTTATTTGCATTACAACCTGTAATTTAAATGGATTTTTATTTGGTTTTCATGTAATGGACATACACAAAAATAACTTGTTTCAAAAAATTCAAAAAAATAAATAACAAAAGTGGTGCGTGCATATGTATTCACCGCCTTTGCTATGAAGCCCCTAAATAAGATCTGGTGCAACCAATTACCTTCAGAAGTCACATAATTAGTTAAATAAAGTCCACCTGTGTGCAATCTAAGTGTCACATGATCTGTCACATGATCTCAGTATATATACACCTGTTCTGAAAGGCCCCAGAGTCTGCAACACCACTAAGCAAGGGGCACCACCAAGCAAGCGGCACCATGAAGACCAAGGAGCTCTCCAAACAGGTCAGGGACAAAGTTGTGGAGAAGTACAGATCAGGGTTGGGTCATAAAAAAATATCTGAATCTTTGAACATCACATGGAGCACCATTAAATCCATTATTAAAAAATAGAATGAATATGGCACCACAACAAACCTGCCAAGAGAGGGTCGCCCACCAAAACTCACAGACCAAGCAAGGAGGGCATTAATCAGAGAGACAACAAAGAGACCAAAGATAACCCTGAAGGCGCTGCAAAGCTCCACAGCGGAGATTGGAGTATCTGTCCATAGGACCACTTTAAGCCGTACACTCCACATAGCTTGGCTTTACGGAAGAGTGGCCAGAAAAAAGCCATTGCTTAAAGAGAAAAATAAGCAAACATGTTTGGTGTTCGCCAAAAGCCATGTGGGAGACTCCCCAAACATATGGAAGAAGGTACTCTGGTCAGATGAGACTAAAATTGAGCTTTTTGGCCATCAAGGAAAACGCTACGTCTGGCGCAAACCCAACACCTCTCATCACCCCGAGAACCCCATCCCCACAGTGAAGCATGGTGGTGGCAGCATCATGCTGTGGGGATGTTTTTCATCGGCAGGGACTGGGAAACTGGTCAGAATTGAAGGAATGATGGATGGCGCTAAATACAGGGAAATTCTTGAGAGAAACCTGTTTCAGTCTTCCAGAGATTTGAGACTGGGACGGAGGTTCACCTTCCAGCAGGACAATGACCCTAAGCATACTGCTAAAGCAACACTCGAGTGGTTTAAGGGGAAACATTTAAATGTCTTGGAATGGCCTAGTCAAAGCCCAGACCTCAATCCAATTGAGAATCTGTGGTATAACTTAAAGATTGCTGTACACCAGCGGAACCCATCCAACTTGAAGGAGCTGGAGCAGTTTTGTCTTGACGAATGGGCAGAAATCTCAATTTTAATTCCAGGTTGAATGGCAACAAAATAGGAAAAATGCCAAGGGGGGTGAATATACAAGCCACTGTATATCAATTATGTGGAAACAATTCTTACTTTCTGGTAGTAACTTTGAAGGATTCAACACAGTGTAATGTATTCTCTCTGTGATGCTAACAGTGACTCAGCTGTCAATCTAACTATTATGTCCAGTAAAGAAATACAACAAATCCAAAATGACACCCTACTCCCTATATAGTGCACTACAACTGACCAAGGCCCTATACAACCCATATAGTACATTACTTTTGACCAGAGCCCTATCTTGAAAAGTGGTGCACTATATATTAGGATTAAAGTGCCATGTGTTGAAAAGCAGTGGGAATAAGGTTACATTTCAGACACAAACATCTACTCACCTAAGAAATTGTAATTAGATAGTTTAACTTACCACTCTCCTCTCGGCTTCTGTGTGTATGGGAGAGATGGTGTCTCTGATCATTACACATCTTATTGTGTGTGTGTGTGTGCCTGTGCAATCTCGTGTGTGTGTTTATGTTCCCAATCATAGTCAGATGCAGGGTTTTTCCAGTGCCCCAAGGCTGATGCAGGGTTTTTCCATCGCCCCCAAGACTGATGCAGGGTTTTTCCAGCGCCCCAAACACACACACACACACCGACTGAACTATGCCTGCAGGTGGCGATGAAGTATCACCATGCAAATTCTCCGACTGTAAGGGATGATGAGCAATGCAAATCACTGACACAACACACACACACACACACACACACACACACACACAGGCAGGCAGTGGAAATAATTTATGAAAAGATCACCAGCGTTTTGCTGACGAAGGCATCTTGCTGCAGAAACTTTGGCGATTCACTTCCTGAACTGACTCATTTGAAATGGACTTGATCCCCAACCCTGGTGGCTACATTCTTCTCTTATAGTCTAAATTGGAGCCCACCCCACCCTGATATGTAACACTGACACTCTTCTGTCACCTCTCTCTCCCTATCACCTCACCTCGCCTGTCACATCAACATATCCCAACCCCCGAGAGCCGTATCCTGGCAACAGCATAGCCATGGAGACCGGTGATGTCTTCGTAACCCTTGGAATCGCAATAAATTATGTGTGTGTGTGTGTTCTAACCATAGTTGTTCGTGCTAGTTATAATGCCGGTTGGAGCTGAAGAGTGGGAAAGGAGCAGGCTATCAGCTGTTAATCATCTGTCCTGACCTTCTGTGACCTTCCCTTTCTGCAGCCGGTGGAAAAACAAAATTTTCCCTTTGGGGATCAATGAAGTACAGTGATTGATTCATTCACTCTCTCTCTCTCTCTCTTGTTCTCTTCCTCTCTACTCCCTTATCAGATAGAAGAGCGTAGAAGAGAGCTTAGAAGAGAGCGTAGAAAATAGTTCATGTTCACAGGTTCAGTGTGTCAATAGTCAATACTGCTACATGACAGTCACCCGCTGTCATTATGGAACAGTTAGAATGATGTGCTCTGTACAGACCCTGGGTCCAAAGTCCCAGTCAGTGGACAGATAGCTAGCTAGCTTTATAGATATGGGCAGATATCCAAGCACAATGCTAGTGTGTTTCTGTTTAGCAACATCACAATGACAAAAGAGTTGGCCAAAGAAACAAAAAGAGACTGGGGCCCAACCAGGCGTTCATTAATAACAATACATAGGATTTCTATAGTGATTTTTCTAAAAGCCATGTCATGAAGCAGTCTTGCTTTTGATCTATCTCCTCCTTTCTCTTCCTCTCTGCTTGTGAAAGCATTGCATTCCTCACTTTGAGTGACAGGGCCTAATGGTTGCACCAGTTAATTGTGATGACACTACACAGACACACTTCCAATTCACACATGCGTATAATACACACTTGTACTGTGTTGCAATAGGCTACACTCTCCACACCCACTTCTAATGTTCTTCTCCCCCCACCCATCTTCTATGTCATGTCTCTCTCCCCCACCCATCTCTCTCTCTGCTTCGTGCCTCTCTCAATTCTCTCTCTCCTCCCCACCCATCTCTCTCTCTTCTGTCTTCTCTCCCCCACCCATCTCTCTCTCTGCCTCTCTTCTCTCTCCTCCCCCACCCATCTCTCTTTCATGTCTCTCTCTCCCCCACCATCTTCTCTATCTTTCTCTCTCCCCACCTCTTCGTCTCTCTCCCCCACCCATCTCTTTCTGTCTCTCTCCCCCACCATCTCTCTCTCTGCCTCTCTATCTGTCTCTCTCTCCCCCACCTCATCTTCTCTCTCTCCCCCCCCCTCTCTTCTGTCTCTCTCTCCCCCCACCCATCTCTCTCCTCTTCTCTCTCTCCCCCACCCATCTCTTCTGTCTCTCTCTCCCCCCACCCATCTCTCTGTCTTCTCTCCCCCACCCATCTCTCTCTCTGCCTCTCTATCTTCTCTCTCTCTTCCCTCCCCCACCCTCTCTCTCTCTCCTCCCCCACCCATCTCTCTCGTCTCTCTCTCCCCCCACCCATCTCTCTCTCTGCCTCTCTATCTGTCTCTCTCTCCCCCACCCATCTCTCTACTGTCTCTCTCTCCCCACCCATCTCTCTGTCTCTCTCTCCCCACCCCATCTCTCTCTCTCCCCTCCTCTCTATCTGTCCTCCTCCTCTCCCCCACCCATCTCTCTCTGCTCTCTTCTCTCTCTCCCCCACCCATCTCTCTATTTCTGTCTCTCTCTCCCCCACCCATCTCTCTATCTGTCTCTCTCTCCCCCACCCATCTCTCTCTCTGCCTCTCTAATCTGTCTCTCTCTTCTCCCCCCACCCATCTTCTCTTCTCTCTCCTCCCCCCACCCATCTCTCTTCTTCTCCTCTCCACCCTCTCTTTTGTCTCTCTCGTCCTCTCCCCCCCATCTCTCTCTCTCTCTTTTGTCTCTCTCTCCCCCACCCATCTCTCTCTCTCTCTCTCTCTCTATCTGTCTCTCTCCCCCACCCATCTCTCTCTCTCTCTCCCCCCCATCTTCTCTCTGCCTCTTTGTCCTCTTGTCTCTCTCCCCCACCCATCTCTCTCTCTCTCTCTCCCACCACCGTCTCTCTCTCTCTCTCTATCTGTCTTCTCCCCCCTCTCCTCTCCTCCTATCGTCCTCTCTCTCTCTGTCCTCCCCCCACCCATCTCTCCTCTGCCTCTCATCTGTCTCTCCCCCCCCACTCTCTCCTCTCTCTCTCCCCCACCCTCTCTCTCTCTCTCGTCTCTTCTCCCCCACCCATCTCCATCTGTCTCTCTCTCCCCACCCATCTCTCTATCTGTCTCTCTCTCCCCCACCCATCTCTCTCTCTCTGCCTTTCTATCTGTCTCTCTCTCCCTCTCTTTCTTTCTCTCTCCGACTCACGTTTTGTCCTTCCAATTCAGACACTCTTTCACGTGGTGTATCTTTCCCTCTTTCTTCTATTCTCTCTCTTTCGCTCTGTCTTTTAATACCTTCATCTTTGTGACCTGCAGTAGCAGTCTGTGCTTGGTCGTGTCAACAAAGATTAAAACACAAACCTCACTTTCCAGCTTAAAATGTCTCTACTCTATACCTTTTCGGTAGCACAACAGGCCAATACATTGTCAAGCGGGCGGTGACGTGTGTTGGGGAGCAGAGGACATAAGATCACTCCTAGTTGAGTACGGGTGAGCGAGGAAGCGAAGCACAGTGAAGCCTGTTACACAAACAAGAAAGAAACATAACAAATGAACATAATTCTTATTCACAACAGTTTATTTTTTATACATTACCATATACATACAGTACAGTACATTAGGCTCAATACATATCTATTGGCATATACATTGTTGTGGTTGTTGTTGTTGTACAATTTGTTGTGTGAGGCAGAGTGACATAGTTTTAGGCCATTACAGTGTCTTAGTGCAGTACAGGTTGGGTGTTCCAGAAAGCAGTGTCATTAAGTTAGCCAGCTAACTTTAAAAACAGTCAGATATATATGTCTTAATTTTTCTGGTTCATTTTGAAAGCTAAACTTGAATATCTGTTGTTGGTTGTCAAGTCAATTACACCATGCTAATTTCAAATCTATATTTCTAGAAAATAAGTTATTTTAGAATATTTAGGACAGTTAGCTGGCTAATTCATTGATCCTGATTTCTGGAACAGTCCCCAGGTGGATGTTTAAACTCTAGAAGTCGTCTTGTACAATAGAACACATGCACTGGCATCTACATACTTAGATAGTTAGATAGCACACAAGAATATGTCAAGCACCGTCACAACAGAGCAACACTTGCAGGGGTGATACTGTTAATGTCTTGGCTTGGAACACTCTACGGGTATGTAGTGGTCAGGGTTGGGGTCAATTCCAATTCAATTCAGTCAATTAAGGAAGTAAACTGAAATTCCAAGTCCAATTTTCCTCAATGCTTCTTTATGACATAATTCAGTCTGAATTGACTGAATTTAAATGGATTTGAGCCCAACCCTGCTAGTGGTCAGGGTCTGACTAGAACTCATCACAGCTCTACTGGAAGCACTGCTAATAGAAGTACTGTACTACTAAAGTACTACTTTGTATTTACACATATTTACAGTCACAAATGGAGATTGTGTGTGTGTGTGTCTGTCCAAGACTAACGACAGAAACTGTGAAGAGAAGACGCCATATAATGTAGTTGTAACATACTGTACTTCAACCAACTACAGCGGATGCCCTGATGGTTAATATGATACTATCTTTTAAACTTCTCATTTCATTCACAACACAAGGTCATGTCCCCAACTATTTTCAGTCAGCATTAAAATAACTTAAATATGATTGTCTACAAACATGGATAAACTAAAGATTGTCATTGTGGCAACTTTAAGTATGTTGTTCCATCTCAGGAAGGGGGGGAGATAGGAGAGGATGATAGATGTGGTCTATATGACTTGGCAGCAGCTGTGAGGTGAAGGGGGACAGAGCAGACCCTCTTTGGGGCTCCTGTGTATATTGACTGACATAGTCTTATCACTGAGAGGCATCTGTAGCACTCTGTTCTTCAGGTTCCGGTGGTGCTCCCTGGCCAGGTCCAGCTCACTCAGCCTCAGTGTACCCAAGGACGGGGCCTCGAACTGTGGGTCGGAGAGATGGTCAAGGGGGTGGTGCTGGAGGTGGTGGGTCCCTCCGGGCGACGGACCCCCCAGGAGAGAGACCTTATCCAGGCTGCCTGTAGAACCCCCCATACACATCCTCCACACTGGCTGGTCCTGGTGGTCCAAGCTCCCCCCCCTTACCCCTCCTCCCCCACCTGTCAGGCTGTGGAACTGGGAACTCAGGCATAGGCTCATCAGCTTCAGGCTCTCCACCAATCCGCTGGCTGCTTTGGCCGAGCCACACACCCCTAGTCCCGCCCCCATACCTGAGCCATCAGCAGAGGGGCTTTCTCTTCCTCTGTCTCCCCCACTCCCCCCTCTGTCTCCCCCACTCCCCCCTCTGTCTCCCCCACCACAGGCAAAGCTAGGTCTTCCTTGTCTTGGTCCTGTCGTGTCCCTGTCCGGTCTCCGCTGGCCCAGCTGGCTCACAGAGTCATTGTCATCTCTCCTCTCTGAGGTGGGAGACGCCATGGCAACCGTTGCCACCTTGGTAACCGTTGCTGGAGACGACACACCTGACAACGTCAACAACCCAGTGTGGAGGCTGAGGAAAGCTTGTTCTGGCTTGAACCCACACTTCTTTCCTTCTATCTTTCCTTCCTTCTTCTCCTTGTCATCCTTCTCTACTTTCTCCTCCTCCTCCTCTTCCTCCACCTCCTCTTCCTCATCTCCTTCCTCCTCGTGTATCTGGTTGAGGACAGGTGCGCTCTTACGAGAAGTCAGTCGGTTAGAGACAGAGGAAGGGGAGGAAGAGGATGATGAAGATGAGGCAACGTTATGCCGGAGAACCACCTGAGAAGGGAGAACCGAGGGAGACGAATCCTCCTCTTCTTCCTCCTCATCTTCCTCCTCCTCATCTAGGCTGAAGAGGCTGGGGCTCCCTGGTTTAGAGGGGGTGGGCGAGGCCAGGGAGCCTAGCCTGAGGGGGATGGAGTGGGGCTTGACTGGAGGCCGGAGGCCCCTGTCCTGGTGCTCTCTGGATGAACCGACAGGAGGGAGTGTTGAAGGGAGTGCTTTGTGTGTAGTGTGTGTGTCATCAGCCTGGAGGGTCAGAGTGTGTGTGGGGTGTGTGTTATTGTCCAACCGTCTGTGGTTGAGTTCCAGTAGGGATGTTTTGGGTCGGGGTCCGTGGTGGACCAGGCTCTCAGCACTGCGGGCGGGGGACTGGGGGCCCCCTGGGTGGGAGATGGGGGTACCACCCAAACCGTCCCCCATGTCCTGGTGCACGTCCACTCTGGTAGGCCAAGACTGCCTGGAGAGGGTTAAGCAGAGAGAGGGAGCAGAGAGTTTTAACAACATAGAGGAAGGTTGGTATAACTTTTCTGTTTAGTTTGTTTGATTCGTTTTTGATTAGTTTAGTTTGTTAAATGAAGAATAAAGAAATACAGAATGTCCCCTTTAAGCTCATTGCTCTGTCCTTACATCCCCTAACACACAGCACACTGGGAAAGGAAGCACTGGTTAACATCTCTCCCTCCCTCCTCCCTTCCTCTCCCTCTCTCCACTTGTTTATTTGTTTATTTACTGTGGCAGCTACCTCCCTCTCTCCCTCTTTCCCTCTCTGTCTCACCCCCCCCCCCCCCCACTTGGGCTGAGTGCAATGCAGACTGACAGAAACAGAGCCCACAACATTCTGCCCTTAGTCTGAGTGTGTGCATGCGTGTGTGAGTGTGTATGTGTTCATATTTACTGTACCTGAACTGGGCCTTGTGGCTGGGGCTGGACCATGTGTGGTTGTTCTGCTCTCTCTCCTGTTTCTCCCTCAGTATCCTCTCTGCTAGCAGGAAATATGTAGCTGTGATGTGGTTATACTGGTCAGACTCCAAGGCTCTAGAGAGAGAGGGGGAGTGAGCGGGAAAGAGAATGAGAAAGAGAGAGAGAGAGAGCGAGAGAGAGAGAGAGGACAAGTTTAGAACATACATCAGAACATACTTAACATACTAGATTACCATAACTACGAGCTATCCTCCCCAATCACACACACACACACACAAGCAGAATCCGACAAGCAGAACAGAAACAGCGATGACTGCTGTGAGTCCAACTGAGAATACAGGGGCAGGGAATCCATTTAACGCAACACCAGCTGCAGAGCAGGCTCTCAGAGGGCTGCTAATGACAAATAAACTGATGACGACAGTGGGGAAGCAATTTAGCGTCACGCCAGCTGGCAAAGTGATGCGAGAGGACAGCGATACAGGACAGTCACTAATAATGATCATTACCACCTAATGACAGGACTGTGTGAACAGAAATGGAAGGAGAGGCCTTCATAGAATTAGAGTACGTTCATTGTGTGTGTGTGTGTGAGAGTGTGTGCAAGTGTGTGTGTCTTACTCTGTGACGGTGTCCCTGTCTGCAATGCCACCTAGTGCCATTCGTTGAATGATACTGCTGTGCTCCTCCTCTGATAGGCTCCTGTATGACACCAGGGGCGTGGTCAGCTTGGTGGCAGGGGAGGGATCAACTCCCTGCAGCCAATCATGGCCCTGGATCAGCTCCACAGTGGCCCGCCTCTTAGGGTCTCTCTGCAGCATACAGTCAATCAGACTAGAGAGAGAGAAGGAGAGATGGAAAGATAGAGAGAGGAGAGAGAAGGAGTGAGGGAGATGAAGGTACAGTTAATTAATTATGGTAATTTAATTATTACATTTTGGTTACCATAGTAACTATAGAGGTTAAATAAAATCTTAATACAAGGCTTAAAGTGGAACTGACAGCATTTTAATTACTTTGCAGATATGAAACAAACAGACAATCATAATATCAGTAAAAAATATCAAATTCCCAGTTTATGCTTCAAAACCAACTTTATAAGAGGTTTTAAAAATAGGTTCTATTTGACTCAAAATTCCATGACGTACAATACGGCATTGTTGGCAGAATAGATGGATGCAGTTCAATGCATGAATAATATATTTCACCAATACATTCCTTGGTAGTCCCAAAAATATTGATATCAGGTTGTAAATCACAACTGGCCTGGTACATTGTTTGCTGCCTCCACCCATTCGGGATGCACTGTTTCAGTTTCAATGACTCAATATTTTGAACAAAAACAAACAACTGTAACTAAGGCTGGGAATGTCAATACAATCAAACTAGCAAGGGCAATGATCACAAGTCAGTCATAACGTGGCTAATAGGCTAGCGCACATGTGTCAAACACAAGAGAATATAAATGAGTCAACATTTGAGTCATCTACTTTATGAAATTACAGCCTGAAGCGCTCACATCGGTGAATTCAACTTCATTTGAGCTGCTTTCGTGTGTCCCGTTTACAGCGCGCAGCAGAGGGAAAGTGTACAGACACATGCCACAGTCCTATCTAGGCTACTAAAATGTTGCAGTCTGGCTTTGGTTTTTAAAGCTTGACAATGAATAACCAAATAACAAAACCTGCAACAAAACACCATGCAAAGGAGAAACATGTAGGCCTATTACAGCAACATTTGAGCAGTAGGCTAGGCTGGCAACTAAAATACATTTTGAGTGCACCATACAGCAATGTTGCATTCAACCACACCGGTGATCCATGCAGTGCAAAAAAGTAAAAACATGTTTTAAGTTTAAATGTTACAACAACCTACTGCTACGTTTTTGTTATTTGGAGTTAAATACTTTTTGATTAGGGTCGCACCATATTATGCACATCTGCAAGCATAGCAGCAAAGGCTGGACAAACATTATTTAGCTCTTCTTTTGATTTAATATGTTAAAATGCTATATACAGCATCATATAGGTGCACTGATTGAGTTTGACACCCCTGGGCTAGCGTATCTATTTATGTAGCTAGCTATTTATTTAGCAAGCTAAAAACATGGAGCCTAATGATATCTAGCTGCTGGGAGGATGTCATGTCATTGGAGAGTGGGTGAGTGACCGACTTTTTCCCCTCATATCGTTTTTCGGTAGCTACAGCTAGAGATGCAGGTTAGCTAGCAAGAAATGTGAATCATTTTGCTAGCTAGCTATGCTGAACTTGAACGACTGTTATCCACATTTAGCATATCTCTTAGTTGTCAATCAAATGTATTTGGCATGGATCAAATGGGTGGGCAGGCAAGTTCCCATTCAGTTGTCAAAACGTGGGTTGGGACAATCATGCATTGGCAGGCAAGCTGCAGAAGGACGAGCAGGCTACAATTCCCCATAGTTTATCAGTGCAATTTTGACGACCAACTAGCTGAAGCAGTTTGAGAGGGTTTATCTAATGTTCCCTCATTATATTTTAGTTCATCTCACTCTGGCTAGTTTTAGTTGTTGATCTTGGTGTTGTTGATGTGCATAGGTAACTGAGGGAGAGATAGCCTACCTTTACATGGTTGTTTGATCGAATAGGACTGTGAGTTCCCAAATGTAAGAGGACTCCTGTGGTATTTACATATTTGCAGAAATCCATTTAGGTGTATTTTGTGGCTTTTGGCAAATGCGTTCTAATGATCTAAAGTCGCGCTGTTGCTACTGCCTGTAAACACACAGTCCAGTTCAAAGTGAATGATGGCCAGAGTGGCAAATGGCTTATTTGCATATAGGCCTACTGTAGCTCTGATTGGCTGTGGCGCACCGGTCTGCGTAGACTCCGGTCCTGGACAAGACAATTGTTTTTATTAAGTTTTATTTACTGCAGTGTCTATTAATTGTCCAAACGCACGGCTGCTTTCCCACTCTATATTGCTATGAATTTTCACAAATGCCTTACTATAAATCATTCCCAAACATTAATTTATGAAAACTTGAAAATTACCATATCTAAGTGCTCACTTGTCCGAAAATATATTTTTTAAAAGGTGTCATATTCTTCGTGGGGATTTGAGTAAGATTTCATGTTGCTAAAAAGCTGTCAGTTCCACTTTAATAAATAGAGGCTTTGCATCTCGAATATGACTTCCCCTGATAAGGCTAGGCTAGCCTCCATGGTGATGGTGTGATATGTATAATGGGGGCTAGCCTAGTCAGAAACCATCTGAACACACACACACACACACACACACACACACACACACTGCAGAGAGCTGAGGTTCAATACAGCAGCAGCAGCAGCAGCAGAACAATGTTAAAAATAGATTAGCCTGATGTTTTAATGGAAGCATCAGAGATACACTCAACTTAACACAGCATTGGGGCTGGGGCTGGGGCTGGGGCTGGGACTGGGACTGGGACTGGGACTGGGACTGGGACTGGGACTGGGGTACTACTGCAGAGGCGTGACCAGGAGAGGAGAGATACTGTCTTTTTACACTATGCCTCTCTCTCCACGATCCCTCTCTCCTCTCGTCCCCTCTGCTCTCCTCTCCACTCTTGCTCTTCACACATCTATAGGCATGAAATATGCAGCAGCTACAGAGTACTTTCAAATGGAGTGCGTCTGTATGTGCATGTGTGACTCACTCTCTGCAGGCTGAGGAGATGTGTGATGGTACTGTGTATTTACAGTCCATGATCATGGTGAGGGTCTCACTGTCATTGGCCTCCTGAAAGGGTGGATGGCCACACACCAACATGAACAGAATCACCCCCAGACTCCAGATATCTACAGAGAGAGAGAGAGAGAGAGAGAGAGAGAGAGAGAGAGAGAGAGAGAGAGAGAGAGAGAGAGAAGATGATAGATAGATATAGCTCGAGAGAGAGATATATGAGCGAGATCTCGATACGATATAGCAGATCTCCTAACTCTATCTCTCTCTCTCTCTCTCTGCTCTCTCTCTCTCTCTCTCTCTCTATTAGAGATTAGCCCCTCTTATTGGTCCTTCATATACCTGGTGAAAGGTGTATAGCTACAGTAGATCATTTCACTTGTGAAACAGAGAATGAAAAACAGAGAAACAGAAAGAGAGCGGGAAAGAACGAGTGAGAGTAAGAAAGGCAGAGAGAGAAAAGAGAGAGAGACATGGTATTGTATGTTTTTTCCGCTTCATGATAATTTCACTGACCTACATAAGAACAACCTGCTCCCATTCAGAAGAAGCGTGAATCATCTGACCAGGACACTTCCATAAATACACACACTGGCCTAGGTCATCTGCCTGACCACACACACACACAGAGACACACACACATTAACGTTCCGCTCATGCATGGACCCATGCATGGATACACGCCCGCACACATAAGAACAACACACATGCAGGCACACACACACACACACACACACAAAATGTGGGTTTATGTTCATCCTTCAATGCCTCTAACACACATCTTCTTACAGTATATGGAACAGTTCTCTTAATCAGAACGACCATTAACAGAACAACTATCTCCACACACACACACACATACACACACACTGCAGTAAGAGAGGACAACAAACATTGCTATCGCCTGTTTTCACGTCACCAGGTATTGTTGCAACCGTGAACCCAATCCCTCATTATCTTGTCATAGGGCAAACAACTTCCTGGATAACTTTATTTATAAACCAGCTGGCTGAGAGTTTCTTGGATCCATATTTAAAGAGAGCTTGTCACAGTGTCTCTCTTATAAGCTGTAGATCTGCTATTAGTGAGACAGCTGTGTGATGTAACACCCTCTGCATCCTCTATTACAGGCCTGGTGTTAAGATACAACCCTCTCTGCATAACAATCAGTGCCCCTACCATTTCCTTTGGCATCACTCACCCTCGGCCAGATGGGCTACATTCAGCAATCACAGCATTGGTGAGTGATATCAACAGCACACACACACACACACATAAACACACACCCATACCCCACACACACACACACAACAAGAGGCGTCAGCAACTATAAACACAAATCGGATCATCTGCTCAGCACAAAAGAGAAGGATAAAATAGAGCGCAAGATAGAAAAGAGAGGAGAAAATTGGCCCTACGTCTCCACTCAGTCAGAAAAATGTAAAATGCTCCCTCTCTTTCTTCCTTTCTGGGTCTGAAGCCTTGGCCTCTGGGTGTAGGGGATGAATACTGATTCCCCTTGTCTCTCTCACTCTCTTTCTCCCCCTTTCAGTCTCTTCCCCTCCCCCTCTTCTTTTCCCTCTTCTTTTTCATTTTATTTCCATTACTTTTTCATTTAGTCCCCCTGTGAGGTGTCACTACACCAGACGTGCTAGGAGAAACACATTATGGTGTAGTATTGATATTAGATTTGGGAGTTGTTATCTACCTCTTCTCCATTCAGAAGATAATAGCTACAGAGTGAGATATAGGGCGGATGGTAGCCTAGCGGTTAGAGAGGCGTGTGAGCAACCAGAGGGTTGACAGTTCGAATCCCGGGTCCGACGGGAAAAGTCTGGTGGGAAGTGAGCTGGCAACCGGAGGGTTGCTGGTATCAACTCCTAGATGCCATTGCCTGCCATTGTTCCCTTGAGCAAGGCACTTAGCCTCCCCACACCTCTCAAAAAACTGTATATGGATCAGGGGTTGGAACTGGTTCAGGGAACAAAACAAAAACTACACTTGTCTGTCCAATGCATGTAAATAGCTGCCCGCTCCATAGCAAGCTGCTCTATCCGCACTGATTGGTGTAGTTATTTAATGTCAAGATAAATGTAAAAAAAATATATTTCAGAGGTATAAAAAGGAACAGAAAGGAACGATATAAACTGTTCCTTGTTTTTGGTTTCGAACCGGTTCAGAACTGTATTTTGCTGGTCGGAACAGCGGAATGGAACGAAAAAAAGTATGGTTCTGTTCCAACCCCTGCATGTTTATGTATGTGTGTCTTTCGGAGGGGTTGAGTTAAAAGCAAAACTAAAATGTAGGTTGGACCTTGTGTGCAATTGACCAATAAAGTGATCTTAACCTTAATTTCTTAATACTATAACCAGCTAAGGCGCTAACCTCTGCAACACATTTTACATTTACATTTTAGTCATTTAGCAGACGCTCTTAACCAGAGCGACTTACAGGAGCAATTAGGGTTAAGTGCCTTGCTCAAGGGCACATTTACGTCATTTAGCAGACGCTCTTATCCAGAACGACTCACCAATTGGTGCGTTCACCCTATACAACACCTCTGTCGTTAGTAGTCTGATAGCTGTGAAAGTGTCCCAGTTTGTCTGCCAAGCAGGGTTGGGGTCCATTCTATTGGGACCAATTCAGTCAATGCAGGAAGAAAACTGAAATTCCAATTCCACATTTTCAATTAGAAAAAAAATTGTATTGGAATTTCAGTATACTTCCTAACTGTATTGACTTTGAAATGGAATTGACCCAAAAGCCAACTGTATGTAAGGGTCATTATTAGCCTGGTTTGTTAGAGGATCTAGCAGTTCACCTGGGACAGATGGAGGACTGTATGCACTGTTCCCACTAGGAAGAACACACACTGGACTATGGATTCTGGAGAGTACAACACACACACACTTGCACACATACACACATACACACAAAGAAAGACAGAGAAAGAGCGAGAGAGAGAGAAAGAGCGAGAGAGAGCGAGAGAGCGAGAGCGAGAGAGAGAGAGAGAGAGAGAGAGAGAGAGAGAGAGAGAGAGAGAGAGAGAGAGAGAGAGAGAGAGAGAGAGAGAGAGAGAGATCACAGCACCACACAGAAAAGGCAGTCTGTCTCAAATCTATCTGAAGTAAAGATTGCAATATCAACCTGCCACTGTTGATAAATCACAATAAGCCAGTCTGAAATCAGTCCTGTCACACGTACATACTCCTACACACACCCTCCCTCCCCCTACCCCCAACACAAACACAGTTCCCCCAAAAGACACTCACCCACAGCAGGCGCGTCATATTCATCTCCCAGCAGTATCTCTGGAGCAGAGTAGGCCAGAGAGCCACAGGATGTGGCCAGGTTCTCCCCTGGCTGGAACTTGTTGCTGAAGCCAAAGTCAGTGAGCTTGACCAGGCCCTGCTTCTCAAAGAACACCACGTTCTCTGGCTTCAGGTCACGGTGCACCACGTGGAGCTGGTGGCAGTAGGAGATGGCATGGACGATCTGGGCAAAGTAACGCTTCGCCACCTGGAGGGAGGATAGAAGATATGCTTTAGTGATGATGATCATTATATTATGTTTTTATGGGTAGGGTGTTTACAATGCTGCTGTAGTCCTTTTTGATTACACACAAATGAATGATAGCAGGCACGGAAACAGGCAAGCACACAAACATGTGAGCACACACACACACACCCCTCCCCTCACCACCAAACACACACACTCCTCCACCCACCACACACCACACACCTCCTCTGTGAGTCCTCCGTCGTGCTTCATGATGCAGTCGTACATGTCCCCTCCATCACCCAGCTCCAGGATTAGGTAGAGCTTGGTCTGCGTGTCGATGACCTCATACAGACGCACCACGTTGGGGTGTTGCACCAGCTTCATACACCTGACCTCCTGGAACAGGTGAGCTCTGGCCACTGGGTCCAGCCTGGACTTATCGATCACCTTCACGGCTACCTGGAGTGGTAATTATTATTATTATCATGGTCATCATCATCATCATCGCTGTCATCAGCAGCAGTGGCTTCATCATGTTCTTCATCAGAATCATCATCATCCTCATAATTCTCCTAGAACAGATAGCCTATGACTACAAGGTCCAGTCTGAACTTAAGTGTCACCTTGATATGGAATAATAATTACAGGATTGCTTGCCAATCAATTACTTTACATTAATCAATCAATTAACTGCCAGGTGAAAAATAAAAAAAACTGTAGTATTCCCTCCGGACCCCCAGAATTGCAGTATCTTCCCACAGGAAAGACCAGGTAGACAGACAAGCTACCTTTTCTCCCGTGAAGACGTGGCGTGCTAGTTTGACCACGGCAAAGTGTCCTCGTCCCAACGTCTTGTCCAGGTCGTAGAGCCCGGCTATCTTCCCATCGTGACCCCTCTTGAACCCTGCCATGGCTGCTGGGGATTGGGATGAAGTTTGCCCTATACGCTGATATAAGATCAGTTTAGCATTTTACCCCCTAATGGTGAAAGTCTGGATAGTGGGGAGGGTGAACTGATCCTAGATCTGTGCCTACGGGAGAGCTCTACCGCTGTATGATGAATTTGGCTTTAGATTCTGATCTTAGATCAGTCTTCTGCTAGTGAACTGGAACTCATGGTGCAGTCTGCGTTCCAGCCCTGTGAGAGAGAGAGAAAGTGGGGGTTGAGGGGGAGAGAGGGAGGAAGGGGGGTGGGAAGAGAGAGAAAGGAAGATAGGGGAGAAAGACAGGTAGAGTTGATAATATTCACACACATAGGAACCATTCCAACCACCATAGAAAGGGTTTAGGAACGCACACACACGCATGCACACACGCACGCACCTGTCTGATTATACAATACTTCCTCCAGATAGACGTAATGTTCCTCTTACGGGAATCACTGCTCTGGTGCCAAGAACCACAGAGACATGACCAAACTGTTTCCAAGAACATTCCTAAAAGGTGACTATTCAGGTGTGTCTGTCTGTGTGTGAGTATCCACCTTTTTGCTTTCACATTCTCAGATCAGTTCAGATTAAATGGACAAGGGAATAAAGGACATTTCTGACTACTGCACCCTAACCCTGCCCTGCCTAGGGCAAGGCTACCTCAACGTGAGGACACATTCCAACCAGCAATATGGCAGGCAGGGTGTTGTATAACTGTTCCAGTAGTGTGTATTGATTACCCTGTCAGCACAACTGTGACACACTGTACTATGAAGGGTCAAGGTCTATATTTCCAATAGACACTTCAACCACTCTCCACAATGTCAGCAAATCTATACTGAACAAAAATATAAATGCAACATGCAACAATTTCAAAGATTTTTCATTTAAGGAAATCAGTCAATTGAATTGATCCAGAGGATCCCAAACATGCTCAATGGGTGACATGTCTGCTGAGTATGCAGGCCATGGAAGAACTGGGACATCTTCAGCTTCCAGGAATTGTGAACATATCCTTCAAACTGGGGCCGTGCATTATCTTGCTGAAACATGAGGTGATGGCGGTGGATGAATGGCATGACAATGGGCCTCAGGATCTCGTCACGGTATCTCTGTGCACTGAAATTGCCATCGATAAAATGCAATTGTGTTTGTTTTCCGTAGCTTATGCTTGCCCATACCATAACCCCACCGCCACCATGGGGCACTCTGTTCACAACATTGACATCAGCAAACCGCTTGCCCACACGACACCATACACGTGGTTTGCGGTTCTGAGGACGGATGGACTTACTGCCAAATTCTCTAAAACGACGTTGGAGGCGGCTTATGTTAGAGAAATGAACATTCAATTATCTGGCAACAGCTCTGGTGGACATTCCTGCAATCAGCATGCCAATCGCACGCTCCCTCAAAACTTGAGACATCTGTGGCATTATGCTGTGTGACAAAACTGCACATTTTAGAGAGGCCTTTTATTTTCCCCAGCACAAGGTGCACCTGTGTAATGATCTTGCTGTTTAATCAGCTTCTTGATATGCCACACCTGTCAGGTGGATGGAGTATCTTGGCAAAGGAGAAATGCTCACTAACAGGGATGTAAACAAATGTGTGCACCTCATTTGAGAGAAATAAGCTTTTTGTGCTTATGGAATATTTCTGGGATCTTTTACTTCAGCTCATGAAACATGGGACCAACACTTTACATGTTGCGTTTATATTTTTTGTTCAGTGTATAATAACTGCATTATATCATTATTAATAATTATTTATAACTAATATTTAATAATTATTGTTATTGTTTTTCTTATTATTATTTAAGTAGGATATGGCAGAAGAAAATCGGTGACCCTGGACTGGTATTACAAAGCTGACAAACAACAACTGCAGAACCCAAGCTACTATTTTTGGAACACTAAATAATTGAGATAAGTGACTATATTTTGGGGACAAAATAGCTGGCCTCCCTGTAGGCTATCTGAGTGTGCCACTCTGCCAAGGGGTCTGGACCTTTATGGCACAGTGTTCATGCCAACACAGGACAGCGCCTGTGTCAACCCTTTCTTCCTCATCCAGAATGTGACAGGCTGTCAAAGCTATATGGTGAATGTTATTTGTTACCGACAAAGAAACCCGCAACGAAGATATATGGTGAATGTTATTTGTTACCGACAATGAAACCCGCAACGAAGCCATGGCGTTTCAATGCATTGGCGAGGTAGGCAAGCGCAGTGTTGATACACAAATAAAGGTACACTATCATTTTAACAGCCTACAGTATAGGCTGCTAGGCTTGTTCAGCCGATACAAACATAAGGTCGCCACTAAATGCAAATACATAAAAATCCTATAGGCTACCTGTGTGTGGACGGTTACGGTATTAAGTTGACTTACCGCGCTGCGGTGAGTTGCAATGTAGGCTATTCCTGACCTTCCCGCTGCGTTCATTCGTTATAGGTAATTAAATGCAGACTGCCTTGAAGAACAACCGTCTGCTATAGGCTACTAGGCTGTACAATATGCTATGATAACATCAGTCTTCAGCCTTGTCAATGGCATTAGGTTTAGTTAGATTGAGCACTGAAAATAACTGCGGCTATTTCAAAGCTTCTGTGTGTGAATCTGATAGAGCCAGCAATTCTCTCTCGCTCTCTTCTTCGGGGCGCATCGGTCCCAGTCATCTCTGACGTCAGAAGTACGTAAACCAGCAAACATCAACAACACATAAACCACACCAGATGTATTTCTGTTTTTAAATTGACACACACACACACGACATATCGAAGAAAAACTCGAGCACCCGCATATCAATGCAAATAACCACAAAATGGGAAACTACTAGCCCAAGACACTGTAATCATTGAAGAGGAGCTTTATGCCGGTGCAGTGTGTGAGTATGTGTAGAGAGAAAGAGCAGGGAGGAAGAAGTGTCATTCATTCAACATCTTCACTCCCAACATTCCAGTCCTGGCCATCATTGTGCCAGAGGAACCATGGTGATAAAGTCAACATTGCAGAGGAGCCTCACCTATGGGTTGGTCTTACTGGGACACTCCATGTCCTGTTCTGCTCTCCTCACTCACTCACTCACTCACTCACTCACTCACTCACTCACTCACTCACTCACTCACTCACACACTCACTCACACACTCACTCACACACACACTTTTAACTATCCTTGTGTAGACCTAAAATTGATATCCATTCAAAATCCTATTTTCCCTGACCCAAATCCTCCCCCTAATTGTAACCCTAAACCTAACTCCTAAATAGCCTTTGTCCTTGTGGAGACCTGGGAAATGTCCCCACAAAGGAGATTTCCTTTGTTTTACTATCCTTATTGGGACTTTTGGGGAAATCCAGTACCCACAAGGATAGTCATAAGTGCACGCGCACACACACGTTCTGCTGCTCTCTCTGTTCTATTCTCAACATAATAACAGATGTAGATGAATGACCTTTGGAGAAAACTAGGTGTTATTGCAACAACTTTATAGTTGTAATAACATTACTTTTTTTGTATTGGTCGAGTACACATATTTTGCAAATGTTATCACAGGTGCAGCGAAATTCCTATGTTCCTAGCTCCAACAGTGCAGTAATACCTAACAATACAAAACAATACACACAAATCCTAAAAATAAAGGAAATACAAACATTTTCAGATTTTCATGTAGATTTAAGTCCAAACTGTAACTCGGACACTCAGGAATATTCAGTTTTCTTGGTGAGCAACTCCAGTGTATATATGGCCTTGTGTTTTAGGTTATTGTCCTGCTGAAATGTGAATTCATCTCCCAGTGTCTGGTGGAAAGCAGACTGAACCAGGTTTATCTCTAAGATTTTGCCTGTGCTTTGCTCCATTCTGTTTCTTTTTTATCCTGAAAAACTCCCCAGTCCTTAACGATAACAAGCATACCCATAACATGTTGCAGCCACCACTGTGCTTGAAAATATGGAGAGTGGTACTCAGTAATGTGTTGTATTGGATTTGCCCCAAACATATCACTTTGTATTCAGGACAAAAAGTTTATTGCTTTGCCACATTTTTTGCAGTATTACTTTAGTGCCTTGTTGCAAACAGGATGCATGTTTTAGAATAGTTATATTCTGTAGAGGCTTCCTTTTTTTCACTATGTCAATTAGGTTAGTATTGTGGAGTAACTACAATGTTGTTGATCCATCCTCAGTTTTCTCCTTTCACAGCCATCAAACTAACTGTTTTAAAGTCACCATTGGCTTCATGGTGAAGTCTCTGAGCGGTTTCCTTCCTCTCGGGCAACTGAGTTAGGGAGGATGCCTGTATCTTTGTAGTGACTGGGTGTAATTAATAACTTCACCATGCTCAATGGGACATTCAAAGTCTGCGTTTATTATTTTTACCCATCTACCAATAGGTGCCCTTCTCTGCGAGGCATTGGTAAACCTCCCAGGTCTTTGTGGTTGAATCTGTTTGAAATTCACTGCTTGACTGAGGGACCTTACAGATAATTGTATGTGTGGGGTACAGAGATGAGGTAGTCATTCAAACGTCATGTTAAACACTATTAGAGTCCATTCAACGTATTATGTGACTTGTTAATCAATTACTACTGAACTTATTTAGGCTTGCCATAACAATGGGGTTGAATACTTATTGACTGAAGACATTTCAGCTTTACATTTTAAACATTTTAAAAAACATAATACCACTGACATTATGGGGTATTGTGTGTAGGCCAGTGACAAAAAAATCTCAATTTAATACTATCAATTGAATTTACTACAGGTGGACTCCAATTAAGTTATAGAAACATCTCAGGATTATCAATGGAAAAAAGGATGCACCTGAGCTCAATTTCGAGTCTCATAGCAAAGGGTCTGAATACTTATGTAAATAAGGTATAAACCTGTTTTCGCTTCGTCATTATGGGGTTGTGTGTGTAGATCGATGAGGAGAAAATATAATTGAATCAATTTTAGAATAAGGCTGTAATGTAACGTGGAAAAAGGGAAGGGGTCTGAATACTTTCCGAATGCACTGTATATGATGTGAAATTTAAAATGGGACTCTCACATATTTGTTAAGACAAAGCAAACACCCATGGAAAAGAGTATGCGCTCGATTTCCCTTGTTCGTGTGGGGTGTGAATACTTTCTGAAGGCACTGTGCCTTTCATTCGGAAAGTATTCAGACCCCTTGACTTTTTCCACATTTTATTACATTACAGCCTTATTCTAAAATTGATTCAATAAAAAAAATTCCTCATCAATCTACACATTTGGAAAGGCACACACCTGTCTATATAACGTCCCACAGTTGGTATTGCATGTCAGAGCAAAAACCAAGCCATGAGGTCGAAGGAATTGTCCGTAGAGCTCCGAGACAGGATTGTGTCGAGGCACAGATCTGGGGAAGGGTACCGAAAAATGTCTGCAGCATTGAAGGTCCCCAAGAACACAGTGGTCTCCATCAAGAAGTTTGGAACCACCAAGTGTCTTCCTAGAGCTGGTCGCGCGTCCAAACTGAGCAATTGGGAGAGAAGGGACTTGGTCAGGGAGGTGACCAAGAACCCAATGGTCACTCTGACAGAGCTCCAGAGTTCCTTTGTGGAGATGGGAGAACCTTGCAGAAGGACAACCATCTCTGTAGAACCACCAATCAGGGCTTTATGGTAGAGTGGCCAGACGGAAGCCACACCTCAGTAAAAGGCACATGACAGCCCGCTTGGAGTTTGCCAAAAGGCACCTAAAGACTCTCAAACAAGATTCTCTGCTGATGAAACCAAGATTGAACTTTTTGGCCTAATGCCAAGCGTCACGTCTGGAGGAAACCTGGCACTATCCCTACGGTGAAGCATGGTGGTGGCAGCATCATGCTGTGGGGATGCTTTTCAGCGGCAGGGACTGGTAGACTAGTCAGGTTTGAGGTGAAAGTTAAACAGAGCAAAGTACAGAGAGATCGTTGATGAAAACCTGCTCCAGAGTGCTCAGGACCTCAGACTGGGGCGAAGATTCACCTTCCAACAGGACAACGACCCTAAGCACACAGCCAAGACAAAGCAGGAGTGGCTTCGGGACAAGTCTCTGAATGTCCTTGAGTGGCCGAGCCAGAGCCCGGACTTGAACCCGATCTAACATCTTTGGAGAGACCTGAAAATAGTTGTGCAGCGACGCTCCCCATCTAACCTGACAGAGCTTGAGAAGATCTGCAGAGAAAAATGGGAGAAACCCCCCAAATACAGGTGTGCCAAGCTTGTAGCGTCACACTCAAGAAGACTCGAGGCTGTAATCACTGCCAAAGGTGCTTCAACAAAGTACTGAGTATATGTATATGATGGTGTGTATAGACATTATGGACAGTATATGAATTAGAAACGGTATGTACATCAGTAGTTATATATGATGAGCCTTGATTAGAATACAGTATGTACATATAAAGTGGGTGAAACAGTATGTAAACATTATTAAAGTGACCAGTGTTCAATGACTGTGTACATAGGGCAGCTGTCTATAAGGTGCAGGGTAGAGTACCGGGTGGAAGCCGGCTAGTAACAGTGATGAAGTTCAGGGCAGGGTACTGGGCGGAGGCTGGCTAGTGGTGACTACTTAACAGTCTGATGGCCTGAAGATAAAAGCTGTTTTTCAGACTCTCGGTCCCAGCTTTGATGCACCTGTACTGTCTCCGCCTTCTAGATGGTAGTTGGGTGAACAGGCCGTGGCTTGGGTGGCTGAGGTCCTTGATGATCTTCTTGGCTTTCCTGTGACATCGGGTGCTGTAGATGTCCTGAAGGGCAGATACAGCCCGACAGGATGCTCTCAATGGTGCATCTGTAGAAGTTTGTGAGGGTTTTATGTGCCAAGACACATTTCTTCAGCCTCCTGAGGTGGAAGAAGCGATGCTGCCCCTTCTTCACCACACTGTCTGTGTGGATGGACCATTTCAGGTTGTCAGTGACGTGCACGGCGAGTAACTTAAAGCTTTTCACCCTCTCCACTGCGGCCACGTCAATGTGGATATGGGCGTGCTCCCTCTGCTGTCTCCTGAAGTCCACAATCAGCTCCTTCGTTTTGTTGACTTTGAGGGAGAGGTTATTTTCCTGGCACCACTCCGCCAGGGCCCTCACCTCCTCCCTGTTGGCTGTCTCGTTCTTGTTGGTAATCAGGCCTATCACTGTTGTGTCTTCTGCAAACTTGATGATTGAGTTGGAGACGAGCGTGGCCACACAGTCATGGGTAAACAGGGAGTACAGGAGGGGCTGAGCACGCACCCTTGTGGGGCCCCAATGTTGAGGATCAGCGTAGCGGAGGTGTTGTTGCCTACCTTCACCATCTGGGGTTGGCCCGTCAGGAAGTCCAGGACCCAGTTGCACAGGGCAGGGTTCAGACCCAGGGCCTCGAGCTTAGTGATGAGCTTGTAGGGCACTATGGTGTTGAAGGCAGATCTGTAGTCGATGAACAGCATTCTTACATAGGTATTCCTCTTTTCTAGATGGGATAGGGCAGTGTGCTGTGCCATGGCGATTGCGTCATCCATGGATCTGTTGATGCGGTATGCAAATTGTAATGGTCTAGGGTTTCGGGTAAGGTGGAGGTGATATGATCCTTAACTAGCCTCTCAAAGCACTTCATGATGACAGAAGTGAGTGCTACAGGGCGATAGTCTTTTAGTTCAGTTACCTTCACTTTCTTGGGTACAGGAACAATGGTGGGCATCTTGAAGCAAGTGTGGACAACAGACTGGGATTGGGAGAGATTGAATATGTCCTTAAAAACTCCAGCCAGCTGGTCTGCACATGCTCTGAGGACGCGGCTTGGGATGCCATCAGGGCCAGCAGCCTTGCGAGGGTTAACACGTTTAAATGTCTTACTCACGTAGGCCATGGAGAATGAGAGCTCACAGTTCTCATGAGCGGCGGTGGCCCATGGCGGTGGCACTGTGTTTTCCTCGAAGCGGTCGAAGGTGTTTAGCTTGTCTGGGAGCAAGGCATCGGTGTCCGCGACGTGGCTGGTTTTCTCTTTATATCTGTGATTGTCTGGAGTCCCTGCCACATACGTCTCATGTCTGAGCCGTTGAATTGCGACTCCACTTTGTCTCTATGCTGACATTTTGCCTGTTTGATTGCCTTACAGAGGGCATAGCTGGACTGTTTGTACTCGTCCATGTTCCCAGTCACCTTGCTCTGGTTAAATGCGGTGGTTCACGCTTTCAGTTTTGCGTGAATGCTGTCATCTATCCACAGTTTTTGGTTTGGATAAGTTCTAATTTTCAAAGTGGGAACAACATCCTCTATGCACTACCTGATGTGTAAACGTCAATGCAATTCTCAGAGGCAACCTGGACATGTCCCAGTCCGCATGATCAAAACAATCTTGAAGCATAGATTCCGATTGGTCAGACCAACGTTGAACAGTCCTTACCACGGGTACTTCCTGTTTAAGTTTCTGCCTATAGGAGGGGAAGAGCAGAATGGATGCGTGATCTGATTTGCCGAAAGGAGGGCGGGGGAGGGCCTTGTAGCTGTCCCGGAAGGGGGAGTAGCAATGGCAGAGATTTTAGAAAAGGAGGAGATAAGAAGACCAGCTGGAAATGAATGGATACATTTATAACGCTCTATATAAGGTCCCACAGTTGACAGTGTATGTCAGAGCAAAGACCAAGCAAGCCATGAGGTCAAAGGAATTATCCGTAGAGCGCCGAGACAGGATTGTGTCGAGGCACAGACCTGGGGAAGGGTACCAAAAAATGTCTGCAACATTGAAGGTCCCCAAGAACACAGTGGCCTCCATCATTCTTAAATGGAAGAAGTTTGGAACCACCAAGACTGTTCCTAGAGCTGGCTGCCCAGGCCAAACTGAGCAATCAGGGGAGAAGGGCATTGGGCAGGGAGGTGACCAAGAACCCAAATGGTCACTCTGACAGAGCTCCAGAGTTCCTCTGTGGAGATGGAAGAACCTTCCAGCACTCCATGAATCAGGACTTTATGCTAGAGTGGCCAGACGGAAGCCACTCCTCAGTAAAAGGCACTTGGAGGGCACATGACAGCCCGCTTGGAGTTTGCCAAAAGGCACCTAAAGGACTCTCTGACCATGAGAAACTAGGCACCTCTCATCACCTGGCCAATACCATCCCTACGGTGGCAGCATCATGCTGTGGGGATGTTTTTCAGCTGCAGGGACTGGGAGTCTAGTCAGGATCGAGGGAAAGATGAACGTAGCAAAGTACAGAGAGATCCTTGATGAAAACTTGTTCCAGAGCGCTCAGAACCTCAGACTGGGGCGAAGGTTCACCTTCCAACAGGACAACAACCCTAAGCACACAGCCAAGACAACAGAGGAGTGACTTCGGGACAAGTCTCTGAATGTCCTTGAGTGGCTCAGTCAGAACCCGGACTTGAACCTGATCGAACATCTCTGGAGAGACCTGAAAATAGCTGTGCAGCGACGCTCTCCATCCAACCTGACAGAGCTTGAGAGGATCTGCAGAGAAGAATGGGAGAAACTCCCCAAATACAGGTGTGCCAAGCTTGTAACGTCATACCAAAGAAGACTCAAGGCTGTTATCGCTGCCAAAGGTGCTTCAACAAAGTATTGAGTAAAGGGTCAGAACACTTATGTAAATGTGATATTTCAGTTTATTTTTTAAAAATTAGCAAACATTTCTAAAAACCTGTTTTTTCTTTGTCATTATGGGGTATTGTGTGTAGATTGAGGGAACAAAACCATTTAATCAATTTTAGTACAAGGCTGTAACGTAACAAAATGTGGAAAAGGTCAAGGGGTCTGAATACTTTCCGAATGCACTGTATGCATGCCTCCTGAGTCAGACTAAAAGCCCACTCCGTATTCCTCTTCTCCGTCGACCGCCTCTTGGAGCAGCCCATGTGATGAGTGTAATTGCCTCGGGGGGTACAAATAAAGGATCCAATTCAGGAAAGTTCAATTTCTGGTTGAAATGCTGGTGAGTGACCGCCTATCTAATATCTCATGTAATATCTCGGCTGAAGGTAATAATGCAAGAAACACTCTGAGCAAATAATGTAATACAAATAACACACACTCACAAAAATAAATACTGGAAAGTTGGCTAGGAGCTAGGAACAGGGTGACTATGTCTGTCAGTGCCATCTTGTTTCTGTTCCTCTCCAGTGCCATGACTAGAGAACTCTTGATTAGCCTTCTAATTATTCACCTCTTACAGTGCTTAATGAGTCAGATCTGTTTAATTACATGAAGTAGGTCTCTCTGCAATCCATGTGAGTACTCTGTTGGTCTGACGTAACTTTTTTTTTTTTAAAGATCAGCTTTAATATTGCAGATAGATTGTAACTTCCATCAATGTAATTGTCTGCATCACTTCCAATCACCCATGTTTTTTTATCGCAAATATATTATATATATATATATATATATATATATATATATACATACAGTGGGGGAAAAAAGTATTTAGTCAGCCACCAATTGTGCAAGTTCTCCCACTTAAAAAGATGAGAGAGGCCTGTAATTTTCATCATAGGTACACGTCAACTATGACAGACAAATAGAGAAAAATCCAGAAAATCACATTGTAGGATTTGTAATGAATTTATTTGCAAATTATGGTGGAAAATAAGTATTTGGTCACCTACAAACAAGCAAGATTTCTGGCTCTCACAGACGTGTAACTTCTTCTTTAAGAGGCTCCTCTGTCCTCCACTCGTTACCTGTATTAATGGCACCTGTTTGAACTTGTTATCAGTATAAAAGACACCTGTCCACAACCTCAAACAGTCACACTCCAAACTCCACTATGGCCAAGACCAAAGAGCTGTCAAAGGACACCAGAAACAAAATTGTAGACCTGCACCAGGCTGGGAAGACTGAATCTGCAATAGGTAAGCAGCTTGGTTTGAAGAAATCAACTGTGGGAGCAATTATTAGGAAATGGAAGACATACAAGACCACTGATAATCTCCCTCGATCTGGGGCTCCACGCAAGATCTCACCCCGTGGGGTCAAAATGATCACAAGAACGGTGAGCAAAAAATCCCAGAACCACACGGGGGGACCTAGTGAATGACCTGCAGAGAGCTGGGACCAAAGTAACAAAGCCTACCATCAGTAACACACTACGCCGCCAGGGACTCAAATACTGCAGTGCCAGACGTGTCCCCCTGCTTAAGCCAGTACATGTCCAGGCCCGTCTGAAGTTTGCTAGAGTGCATTTGGATGATCCAGAAGAGGATTGGGAGAATGTCATATGGTCAGATGAAACCAAAATATAACTTTTTGGTAAAAACTCAACTCGTCGTGTTTGGAGGACAAAGAATGCTGAGTTGCATCCAAAGAACACCATACCTACTGTGAAGCATGGGGGTGGAAACATCATGCTTTGGGGCTGTTTTTCTGCAAAAGGACCAGGACGACTGATCCGTGTAAAGGAAAGAACGAATGGGGCCATGTATCGTGAGATTTTGAGTGAAAACCTCCTTCCATCAGCAAGGGCATTGAAGATGAAACGTGGCTGGGTCTTTCAGCATGACAATGATCCCAAACACACCGCCCGGGCAACGAAGGAGTGGCTTCGTAAGAAGCATTTCAAGGTCCTGGAGTGGCCTAGCCAGTCTCCAGATCTCAACCCCATAGAAAGTCTTTGGAGGGAGTTGAAAGTCCGTGTTGCCCAGCGACAGCCCCAAAACATCACTGCTCTAGAGGAGATCTGCATGGAGGAATGGGCCAAAATACCAGCAACAGTGTGTGAAAACCTTGTGAAGACTTACAGAAAACGTTTGACCTGTGTCATTGCCAACAAAGGGTATATAACAAGGTATTGAGAAACTTTTGTTATTGACCAAATACTTATTTTCCACCATAATTTGCAAATAAATTCATAAAAAATCCTACAATGTGATTTTCTGGAATTTTTTTCCTCATTTTGTCTGTCATAGTTGACGTGTACCTATGATGAACATTACAGGCCTCTCTCATCTTTTTAAGTGGGAGAACTTGCACAATTGGTGGCTGACTAAATACTTTTTTCCCACACTGTATATACAGTGGGGAGAACAAGTATTTGATACACTGCCGATTTTGCAGGTTTTCCTACTTACAAAGCATGTAGAGGTCTGTCATTTTTATCATAGGTACACTTCAACTGTGAGAGACGGAATCTAAAACAAAAATCCAGAAAATCACATGTATGATTTTTAAGTAATTAATTTGCATTTTATTGCATGACATAAGTATTTGATCACCTACCAACCAGTAAGAATTCTGGCTCTCACAGACATGTTAGTTTTTCTTTAAGAAGCCCTCCTGTTCTCCACTCATTACCTGTATTAACTGCACCTGTTTGAACTCGTTACCTGTATAAAAGACACCTGTCCACACACTCAATCAAACAGACTCCAACCTCTCCACATTGGCCAAGACCAGAAAGCTGTGTAAGGACATCAGGGATACAATTGTAGACCTGCACAAGGCTAGGCTGGGATGGGCTACAGGACAATAGGCAAGCAGCTTGGTGAGAAGGCAACAACTGTTGGCGCAATTATTAGAAAATGGAAGAAGTTCAAGATGACGGTCAATCACCCTCTGTCTGGGGCTCCATGCAAGATCTCACCTCGTGGGGCATCAATGATCATGAGGAAGGTGAGGGATCAGACAGAACTACACGGCAGGACCTGGTCAATGACCTGAAGAGAGCTGGGACCACAGTCTCAAAGAAAACCATTAGTAACACACTACGCCGTCATGGATTAAAATCCTGCAGCGCACGCAAGGTCCCCCTGCTCAAGCCAGCACATGTCCAGGCCCGTCTGAAGTTTGCCAATGACCATCTGGATGATCCAGAGGAGGAATGGGAGAAGGTCATGTGGTCTGATGAGACAAAAATATAGCTTTTTGGTCTAAACTCCACTCGCCGTGTTTGGAGGAAGAAGAAGGATGAGTACAACCCCAAGAACACCATCCCAACCATGAAGCATGGAGGTGGAAACATCATTCTTTGGGGATGCTTTTCTGCAAAGGGGACAGGACGACTGCACCGTATTGAGGGGAGGATGGATGGGGCCATGTATCGCGAGATCTTGGCCAACAACTTCCAGCATGACAACGACCCGAAACACACAGCCAGGGCAACTAAGGAGTGGCTCCGTAAGAAGCATTTCAAGGTCCTGGAGTGGCCTAGCCAGTCTCCAGACCTGAACCGAATAGAACATCTTTGGAGGGAGCTGAAAGTCCGTATTGCCCAGCGACAGCCCCGAAACCTGAAGGATCTGGAGAAGGTCTGTATGGAGGAGTGGGCCAAAATCCCTGCTGCAGTGTGTGCAAACCTGGTAAAGACCTACAGGAAACATATGATCTCTGTAATTGCAAACAAAGGTTTCTGTACCAAATATTAAGTTCTACTTTTCTGATGTATCAAATACTTATGTCATGCAATAAAATGCAAATTAATTACTTAAAAATCCTACAATGTGATTTTCTGGATTTTTGATAAAATGATAAAAATTACAGACCTCTACATGATTTGTAAGTAGGAAAACCTGCAAAATCGGCAGTGTATCAAATACTTGTTCTCCCCACTGTAGATACTTTTGTACCTGTTTCCTCCAGCATCTTCACAAGGTCCTTTGCTGTTGTTCTGGGATTGATTTGCACTTTTCACACCAAAGTACGTTCATCTCTAGGAGACAGAACGCGTCTCATTCCTAAGCGGTATGACGGCTGCGTGGTCCCATGGTGTTTATACTTGCGTACTATTGTTTGTACAGATGAACGTGGTACCTTCAGGCATTTGGAAATTGCTCCCAATTATGAACCAGACTTGTGGAGGTCTACAATTTTTTTTCTGAGGTCTTGGCTGATTTCTTTTGATTTTCCCATGATGTCAAGCAAAGATGCACTGAGTTTGAAGGTACAGTGAGGGAAAAAAGTATTTGATCCCCTGCTGATTTTGTACGTTTGCCCACTGATAAAGAAATTATCAGTCTATAATTTTAATGGTAGGTTTATTTGAACAGTGAGAGACAGAATAACAACAACAAAATCCAGAAAAACGCATGTCAAAAATGTTATAAATTGATTTGCATTTTAATGAGGGAAATAAATATTTGACCCCTCTGCAAAACATGACTTAGTACTTGGTGGCAAAACCCTTGTTGGCAATCACAGAGGTCAGACGTTTCTTGTAGTTGGCCACCAAGTTTGCACAATATCTCAGGAGGGATTTTGTCCCACTCCTCTTTGCAGATCTTCTCCAAGTCATTAAGGTTTCGAGGCTGACGTTTGGCAACTCAAACCTTCAGCTCCCTCCACAGATCTTCTATGGGATTAAGGTCTGGAGACTGGCTAGGCCACTCCAGGACCTTAATGTGCTTCTTCTTGAGCCCCTCCTTTGTTGCCTTGGCCGTGTGTTTTGGGTCATTGTCATGCTGGAATAACCATCCACGACCCATTTTCAATGCCCTGGCTGAGGGAAGGAGGTTCTCACCCAAGATTTGACGGTACATGGCCCTGTCCATCGTCCCTTTGATGCGGTGAAGTTGTCCTGTCCCCTTAGCAGAAAAACACCCCCAAAGCATAATGTTTCCACCTCCATGTTTGACGGTGGGGATGGTGTTCTTGGGGTCATAGGCAGCATTCCTCCTCCTCCAAACACGGCGAGTTGAGTTGAACAGCGCCGGAGAAGATGGCTGCCGTTTTACAGCCCTCTAACCAATTGTACTATTATGTGTGTTTTTCCGCGTTATTTGTAATTTATTTTGTACATAATGTTTCTGCCATCGTCTCTTATAACCAAAAAGAGCTTCTGGATATCAGGACAGCGATTAATCACCTCGTATTGGACAAAGATTTTTTTATTCAACGAGGCGGCCGCGATGGATATCATACAGACACCCGACAAGGCCCAAATCCCCGTCATTCACGTGAGGAAGAGACGGAGATATCGTGGACGTAGATCGGGGTGCCTTGTAAGGATCCGACGGCGAGCGAGTAAACTGCCTCTTCCATCAATCCTATTAGCCAACGTTCAATCATTTGAAAATAAATTGGATGACTTAAGATAACGGTTATCCTACCAACGGGACATTAAAAACTGTAATATCTTATGTTTCACCGAGTCATGGCTGAACGACGACATGGATTTCATACAGCTAGCGGGCTATACGCTACATCGGCAGGATAGAACGGCTGACTCCGGTAAGACAAGGGGTGGCGGTCTGTGTATATTTGTAAACAACAGCTGGTGCACAAAATCAAATACTAAGGAAGTCTCGAGGTTTTGCTCGCCTGAGGTAGAGTATCTTATGATAAGCTGTAGACCACACTATTTACCAAGAGAGTTTTCATCTATATTTTTCATAGCTGTCTATTTACCACCACAAACCAATGCTGGCATTAAGATTGCACTGAATGAGTTGTACAAGGCCATAAATCAACAGGAAAACGCTCATCCAGATGCAGCACTCCTAGTGGCCGGGGACTTTAATGCGGGGAAACTTAAATCCGTTCTACCTAATTTCTACCAGCATGTTAAATGTGCAACCAGAGGAAAAAAAACTCTAGACCACCTTTACTCCACACACAGAGACGCATACAAAGCTCTCCCTCGCCCTCCATTTGGCAAATCTGACCATAACTCTATCCTCCTGATTCCTGCGTATAAGCAAAAACTTAAGCAGGAAGCACCAGTGACTCGGTTAATAAAAAAGTGGTCAGATGACGCAGATGCTAAGCTACAGGACTGTTTTGCTAGCACAGACTGGAACATGTTCCGGGATTCTTCAGACAGCATTGAGGAGTACACCATATCAGTCACTGGCTTCATCAATAAGTGCATCGATGATGTCGTCCCCACAGTGACCGTACGTACATACCCCAACCAGAAGCCATGGATTACAGGAAACATCCGCACTGAGCTAAAGGGAAGAGCTGCCGCTTTCAAGGAACGGGACTCTAACCCGGACGCTTATAAGAAATCCCGCTATGACCTCCGACGAACCATCAAACAGGCAAAGAGTCAATACAGGACTAAGATTGAATCGTACTACACTGGCTCTGACGCTCGTCGGATGTGGCAGGGCTTGAAAACTATTACAGACTACAAAGGGAAGCACAGCCGCGAGCTGCCCAGTGACACAAGCCTACCAGACGAGCTAAACCACTTCTATGCTCGCTTCGAGGCAAGCAACACTAAAGCATGCATGAGAGCACCAGCTGTTCCGGATGACTATGTGATCACGCTCTCCGTAGCCGATGTGAGTAAGACTTTTAAGCAGGTCAACATTCACAAGGCCGCAGGGCCAGACGGATTACCAGGACGTGTACTCCGAGCATGTGCTGACCAACTGGCAAGTGTCTTCACTGACATTTTCAACATGTCCCTGACTGAGTCTGTAATACCAACATGTTTCAAGCAGACCACCATAGTCCCCGTGCCCAAGGACTCTAAGATAACCTGCCTAAATGACTACCGACCCGTAGCACTGACGTCTGTAGCCATGAAGTGCTTTGAAAGGCTGGTCATGGCTCACATCAACAGCATTATCCCAGAAACCCTAGACCCACTCCAATTTGCATACCGCCCCAACAGATCCACAGATGATGCAATCTCTATTGCACTCCACACTGCCCTTTCCCACCTGGACAAGAGGAACACCTACGTGAGAATGCTATTCATTGACTACAGCTCAGCATTCAACACCATAGTGCCCTCTAAGCTCATCACTAAGCTAAGGATCCTGGGACTAAACACCTCCCTCTGCAACTGGATCCTGGACTTCCTGACGGGCCGCCCCCAGGTGGTAAGGGTAGGTAACAACACATCTGCCACACTGATCCTCAACACAGGGGCCCCTCAGTGGTGCGTGCTCAGTCCCCTCCTGTACTCTCTGTTCACCCATGACTGCATGGCCAGGCACGACTCCAACACCATCATTAAGTTTGCCGACGACACAACAGTGGTAGGCCTGATCACCGACAACGATGAGACAGCCTATAGGGAGGAGGTCAGAGACCTGGCCGTGTGGTGCCAGGACAACAACCTCTCCCTCAACGTGACCAAGACAAAGGAGATGATTGTGGACTACAGGAAAAAAAAGAGGACTGAGCACGCCCCCATACTCATCGACGGGGCTGTAGTGGAACAGGTTGAGAGCTTCAAGTTCCTTGGTGTCCACATCACCAACGAACTATCATGGTCCAAACACACCAAGACAGTCGTGAAGAGGGCACGACAAAGCCTATTCCCCCTCAGGAGACTGAAAAGATTTGGCATGGGTCCTCAGATCCTCAAAAAATTCTACAGCTGCACCATCGAGAGCATCCTGACTGGTTGCATCACCGCCTGGTATGGCAACTGCTTGGCCTCCGACCGCAAGGCACTACAGGGGGTAGTGCGTACAGCCCAGTACATCACTGGGGCCAAGCTTCCTGCCATCCATGACCTCTATACCAGGCGGTGTCAGAGGAAGGCCCTCAAAATTGTCAAAGACTCCAGCCACCCTAGTCATAGACTGTTCTCTCTGCTACCGCACGGCAAGCGGTACCGGAGTGCCAAGTCTAGGTCCAAAAGACTTCTCAACAGCTTCTACCCCCAAGCCATAAGACTCCTGAACAGCTAATCATGGCTACCCGGACTATTTGCACTGCACTGCCCCCCCACCCCATCCTTTTTACGCTGCTGCTACTCTGTTAATTATTTATGCATAGTCACTTTAACTCTACCCACATGTACATATTACCTCAACTAGCCGGTGCCCCCGCACATTGACTCTGCAACGGTACCCCCCTGTATATATAGCCTCCCTACTGTCACTTTATTTTATTTCTACTCTTTTTTTTCTCAACACTTTTTTTGTTGTTTTATTTTTACTTTTTTTGTTAAAAATAAATGCACTGTTGGTTAAGGGCTGTAAGTAAGCATTTCACTGTAATGTCTGCACCTGTTGTATTCGGCGCATGTGACCAATAACATTTGATTTGATTTGATTTGATGCCAAAGAGCTCCATTTTGGTCTCATCTGACCACAACACTTTCACCCAGTTCTCCTCTGAATCATTCAGATGTTCATTGGCAAACTTCAGACAGGCATGTATATGTGCTTTCTTGATTAGGGGGACCTTGCGGGCGCTGCAGGATTTCAGTCCTTCACGGCGTAGTGTGTTACCAATTGTTTTCTTGGTGACTATGGTCCCAGCTGCCTTGAGATCATTGACAAGATCCTCCCGTGTAGTTCTGGGCTGATTCCTCACCGTTCTCATGATCATTGCAACTCCACGAGGTGAGATCTTGCATGGAGCCCCAGGCCTAGGGAGATTGACAGTTATTTTGTGTTTCTTCCATTTGCAAATAATCGCACCAACTGTTGTCACCTTCTCACCGAGCTGCTTGGCGATGGTCTTGTAGCCCATTCCAGCCTTGTGTAGGTCTACAGTCTTGTCCCTGACATCCTTGGAGAGCTCTTTGGTCTTGGCCATGGTGGAGAGTTTGGAATATGATTGATTGATTGCTTCTGTGGACAGGTGTATTTTATACATGTAACAAGCTGAGATTAGGAGCACTCCCTTAAAGAGTGTGCTCCTAATCTCAGCTCGTTACCTGTATAAAAGACACCTGGGAGCCAGAAATCTTTCTGATTGAGAGGGGGTCAAATACTTATTTCCCTCATTAAAATGCAAATCAATTTCTAACATTTTTTACATGCGTTTTTTACCATTATAGACTGATCATTTCTTTGTCAGTCGGCAAACGTACAAAATCAGCAGGGGATCAAATACTTTTTTCCCTCACTGTAAGTGTATGTAACCTTCCGACTTCAACTGTACATACACATACATATACACATACATACAGTCGTGGTCAAAAGTTTTGAGAATGACACAAATATTAATTTTCACAAAGTCTGCTGCCTCAGTTTTTATGATGGTAATTTGCATATACTCCAGAATGTTATGAAGAGTGATCAGATGAATTGCAATTAATTGCAAAGTCCCTCTTTGCCATGAAAATGAACTTAATCCCCCCCCAAAAAATTCCACTGCATTTCAGCCCTGCCACAAAAGGACCAGCTGACATCATGTCAGTGATTCTCTCGTTAACACAGGTGAGAGTGTTGACGAGGACAAGGCTGGAGATCACTCTGTCATGCTGATTGAGTTAGAATAACAGACTGGAAGCTTTAAAAGGAGGGTGGTGCTTGAAATCATTGTTCTTCCTCTGTTAACCATGGTTACCTGCAAGGAAACAAATGCCGTCATCATTGCTTTGCACAAAAAGGGCTTCACAGGCAAGGATATTGCTGCTAGTAAGATTGCACCTAAATCAACCATTTATTGGATCATCAAGAACTTCAAGGAGAGAGGTTAAATTGTTGTGAAGAAGGCTTCAGGGCGCCCAAGAAAGTCCAGCAAGCGCCAGGACTGTCTCCTAGAGTTGATTCAGCTGCAGGATCGGGGCACCACCAGTGCAGAGCTTGCTCAGGAATGGCAGCAGGCAGGTGTGAGTGCATCTGCACGCACAGTGAGGCGAAGACTTTTGGAGGATGGCCTGGTGTCAAGAAGGGCAGCGAGGAATCCACTTCTCTCCAGGTAAAACATCAGGGACAGACTGATATTCTGCAAAAGGTACAGGGATTGGACTGCTGAGGACTGGGGTAAAGTCATTTTCTCTGATGAATCCCCATACCGATTGTTTGGGGCATCTGGAAAAAAGCTTGTCCGGAGAAGACAAGGTGAGCGCTACCATCAGTCCTGTGTCATGCCAACAGTAAAGCATCCTGAGACCATTCATATGTGGGGTTGCTTCTCAGCCAAGGGAGTGGGCTCACTCACAATTTTGACTAAGAACACAGCCATGAATAAAGAATGGTACCAACACATCCTCTGAGAGCAACTTCTCCCAACCATCCAAGAACAGTTTGGTGACGAACACTGCCTTTTCCAGCATGATGGAGCACCTTGTCATAAGGCAAAAGTGATAACTAAGTGGCTCGGGGAACAAAACATCGACATTTTGGGTCCATGGCCAGGAAACTCCCCAGACCTTAATCCCATTGAGAACTTGTGGTCAATCGTCAAGAGGCGGGTGGACAAACAAAAACCCACAAATTCTGACAAACTCCAAGCATTGATTATGGAAAAATGGGCTGCCATCAGTCAGGATCTGGCCCATAAGTTAATTCACAGCATGCCAGGGCGAATTGCAGAGGTCTTGAAAAAGAAGGGTCAACACAGCAAATATTGACTCTTTGCATAAACTTAATGTAATTGTCAATAAAAGCCTTTGACACTTATGGAATGCTTGTAATTATACTTCAGTATACATAGTAACATCTGACAAAAATATCTAAAAACACTGAAGCAGCAAACTTTGTGAAGACCAATACTTGTGTCATTCTCAAAACTTTTGATAACGACTGTACATATAAATACATATACATACATACAGTTGAAGTCGGAAGTTTACAAACACTTAGGTTGAAGTCATTAAAACCCGTTTTTCAACCACTCCACAAATTTCTTGTTAACAAACTATAGTTTTGGCAAGTCGGTTAGGCAATTTACTTTGTGCATGACACAAGTAATTCTTCAACAATTGTTTACAGACAGATTATTTCACTTATAATTCCCTGTATCACAATTCCAGTGGGTCAGAAGTTTACATACACTAAGTTCACTGTGCCTTTAAACAGCTTGGAAAATTCCAGAAAATGATGTCATGGCTTTAGAAGCTTCTGATAGGCTAATTGACATCATTTGAGTCAATTGGAGGTGTACCTGTGCATGTATTTCAAGGCCTACCTTCAAACTCAGTGCCTCTTCGCTTGACATCATGGGAAAATCCAAAGAAACCAGACAAGACTTGTGTGGACCTCCACAAGTCTGGTTCATCCTTGGGAGCAATTTCCAAACGCCTGAAGGTACCACGTTCATCTGTACAAACAATAGTACCTAAGTATAAACACCATGGGACCACGTGGCCGTCATACCTCTCAGGAAGGAGACGTGTTCTGTCTCCTAGAGATGAACATACTTTGGTGCGAAAAGTGCAAATCAATCCCAGAACAACAGCAAAGGACCTTGTAAAGATGCTGGAGGAAACAGGTACAAAAGTATCTATATCCACAGTAAAACGAGTCCTATATCGACATAACCTGAAAGGCTGCTCAGCAAGGAAGAAGCCACTGCTCCAAAACCGCCATAAAAAAGCCAGACTATGGTTTGCACATCGGGACAAAGATCATACTTTTTGGAGAAATGTCCTCTGGTCTGATGAAACAAAAATAGAACTGTTTGGCCATAATGACCATCGTTATGTTTGGAGGAAAAAGGGGCTAACTTGCAAGCCTGTGAGGGTGCTTTGCTGCAGGAGGGACTGGTGCACTTCACAAAATAGATGGCATCATGAGAAAGGAAAATTATGTGGATATATTGAAGCAACATCTCAAGACATCAGTCAGGAAGTTAAGGCTTGGTCGCAAATGGGACTTCCAAATGGACAATGACCCCAAGCATACTTCCAAAGTTGTGGCAAAATGGCTTAAGGACAACAAAGTCAAGGAATTGGAGTGGCCCATCACAAAGCCCTGACCTCAATCCTATAGAAATGTTTTGGGTAGAACTGAAAAAGCATGTGCGAGCAAGGAGGCCTACAAACCTGACTCAGTTACACCAGCTCTGTCAGGAGGAATGGGCCAAAATTCATCCAACGTATTGTGGGAAGCGTGTGGAAGGCTACCCGAAACGTTTGACCCAAGTTAAACAATTTAAAGGCAATGCTGCCAAATACTAATTGAGTGTATGTAAACTTCTGACCCACTGGGAATGTGATGAAATAAATAAAAGCTGAAATAAATAATTCTCTCTACTATTATTCTGACATTTCACATTCTTAAAATAAAGTGGTGATCCTAACTGACCTAAGACAGGGAATTTTTACTAGGATTAAATGTCAGGAATTGTGAAAAACTGAGTTTAAATGTATTTGGCTAAGGTGTATGTAAACTTCCGACTTCAACTGTGTATATACACATCCTTTAAAAATATATATTTCCCTTTATTACTTTCCAACCCCACCACCCCTTTCCCTAATTGAAGTAAACTAGTGAACAACAATGCTTCGGCCTCTACTTCCAGCTTATACAGTGGGGGAAAAAAGTATTTAGTCAGCCACCAATTGTGCAAGTTCTCTTAAAAAGATGAGAGAGGCCTGTAATTTTCATCATAGGTACACGTCAACTATGACAGACAAATTGAGAAAAAAAATCCAGAAAATCACATTGTAGGATCTTTTATGAATTTATTTGCAAATTATGGTGAAAAATAAGTAGTTGGTCACCTACAAACAAGCAAGATTTCTGGCTCTCACAGACCTGTAACTTCTTCTTTAAGAGGCTCCTCTGTCCTCCACTCGGTCCCTGTATTAATGGCACCTGTTTGAACTTGTTATCAGTATAAAAGACACCTGTCCACAACCTCAAACAGTCACACTCCAAACTCCACTATGGCCAAGACCAAAGAGCTGTCAAAGGACACCAGAAACAAAATTGTAGACCTGCACCAGGCTGGGAAGACTGAATCTGCAATAGGTAAGCAGCTTGGTTTGAAGAAATCAACTGTGGGAGCAATTATTAGGAAATGGAAGACATACAAGACCACTGATAATCTCCCTCGATCTGGGGCTCCTCGCAAGATCTCACCCCGTGGGGTCAAAATGATCACAAGAACGGTGAGCAAAAATCCCAGAACCACACGGGGGGACCTAGTGAATGACCTGCAGAGAGCTGGGACCAAAGTAACAAAGCCTACTATCAGTAACACACTACGCCGCCAGGGACTCAAATCCTGCAGTGCCAGACGTGTCCCCCTGCTTAAGCCAGTACATGTCCAGGCCCGTCTGAAGTTTGCTAGAGTGCATTTGGATGATCCAGAAGAGGATTGGGAGAATGTCATATGGTCAGATGAAACCAAAATATAACTTTTTGGTAAAAACTCAACTCGTCGTGTTTGGAGGACAAAGAATGCTGAGTTGCATCCAAAGAACACCATACCTACTGTGAAGCATGGGGGTGGAAACATCATGCTTTGGGGCTGTTTTTCTGCAAAGGGACCAGGACGACTGATCCGTGTAAAGGAAAGAATGAATGGGGGCATGTATCGTGAGATTTTGAGTGAAAACCTCCTTCCATCAGCAAGGGCATTGAAGATTAAACGTGGCTGGGTCTTTCAGCATGACAATGATCCCAAACACACCGCCCGGGCAATGAAGGAGTGGCTTCGTAAGAAGCATTTCAAGGTCCTGGAGTGGCCTAGCCAGTCTCCAGATCTCAACCCCATAGAAAATCTTTGGAGGGAGTTGAAAGTCTGTGTTGCCCAGCGACAGCCCCAAAACATCACTGCTCTAGAGGAGATCTGCATGGAGGAATGGGCCAAAATACCAGCAACATTGTGTGAAAACCTTGTGAAGACTTACAGAAAACGTTTGACCTGTGTCATTGCCAACAAAGGGTATATAACAAAGTATTGAGAAACTTTTGTTATTGACCAAATACTTATTTTCCACCATAATTTGCAAATAAATTCATTAAAAATCCTACAATGTGATTTTCTGGATTTTTTTTTCTCATTTTGTCTGTCATAGTTGATGTGTACCTATGATGATTACAGGCCTCTCTCATCTTTTTAAGTGGGAGAACTTCCACAATTGGTGGCTGACTAAATACTTTTTCCCCCACTGTACATACTATATACATTTTGTATCAATACATTTTTATTCTGCCTTTTTTAACCAAAAACGACCTGACCTAGAAAGGGCAATGAACAAGAGATCTGTTTGGACTAATAACTAACACACATCTCACCCTCCCGCTGCCCTATTAGTTTCCTGTGACTGTTAGTGTGAACTAAACCAGGCCTGGCAGGGCTAATAACTGACTGTACGTTATGTAATATTTACAACACTTCACTGAGATATCAGTAAGTAGGGCCGGCTTGGCCATGGAGAGATATTCAGCAGAGTCCTAAAGCTAGTTAGGTTTATGCCCTGACTGTGAACCTGGGTTTTTGAACCCGGTTTGTCTGCATCCAAAAGGGTGTTATCCATCTGAGCTTAAAGGGATAATCCACCTCCAGAAATAAAAATCATGAAACTCTTGTCAAAGCCTGTTTGTGAAAGCCTAACAACTTTCCCCATGATTTAACTTGTAAACGGTCCGTCTGTGAAATCAGGAAGTCGTGTAGGAAAGCGTCATAGCAACATGGTTCTTGTCACTAGAAATAGAGGATAACACACCATCATATTTCATAACGATAACACACCATCACATTTCATAACACTTTTAAAACAATTACCTCCAGATCAACAAATCAGCCAATATATGGTATGGGCATACTTGTCTAGAACACATCCATCCATTTATATTGTCATGACAATGTATATATTTCGTTTAGATGTGCTCAATCTAAAGTGTACCAAATTATTCAACTCAGTTTCTCCTTCAAGTACCATCTCGCAATGTGCCCTGTGTGTCTGTGGGGAAACATGGGAAAGGGCTGTTGTTACCATAGCAACAATCTGCACTCGCTCTGGGCAGAGAACTGCAAGTTGAACTCAGTGAGATACACTCCCCAAATTGATAGTGCAGTTAGTTTAGGTGATTTTACAGCTACCTAGCTACTTCACATGGTGATATTGACTTTGGTATTATTGTGTGTAGCTACTTTTGCTTGCTAGCTAGCTAGCCAGCCAGCCCAGAGAGCGCATTGCATTGTGGGCTTTGTAGTTGACTTCAGCTGCAACAGATTTTCACAACGATTTTCACATGTTTCTACCAACCTTGTTATAACAGACAAAATTAAACATTTGTTCACAAAAAAATATTGTTTTCACATACAGTGGCTTGCGAAAGTATTCACCCCCTTTGGCATTTTTCCTATTTTGTTGCCTTACTACCTGGAATTAAAATGGATTTTTGGAGGGGTTGTATCATTTGATTTGCACAACATACATTTACATTACATTTACGTCATTTAGCAGACGCTCTTATCCAGAGCGACTTACAGGAGCAATTAGGGTTAAGTGCCTTGCTTAAGGGCACATCGACAGATTTTTCACCTAGTCGGCTCAGGGATTAGAACCAGCGACCTTTCGGTTACTGGCACAACGCTCTTACCCACTAAGCTACCTGCCGCCCCAAACATGCCTACCACTTTGAAGATGCAAAATAATTTTGGGGGTGAAACGAACAAGAAATAAGACAAAGAAACAGAAAACTTGAGCGTGCATAACTATTCACCCCCCCAAAGTAAATACTTTGTAGAGCCACCTTTTGCAGCAATTACAGCTGCAAGTCTCTTGGGTTATGTCTCTATAAGCTTGGCACATCTAGCCACTGGGACTTTTGCCCATTCTTCAAGGCAAAACTGCAAGTTGGACGGGTTCCGCTGGTCTTTAAGTCATACCACAGATTCTCAATTGGATTGAGGTCTGGGCTTTGACTAGGCCATTCCAAGACATTTAAATGTTTCCCCTTAAACCACTCGAGTGTTGCTTTAGCAGTATGCTTAGGGTAATTGTCTTGCTGGAAGGTGAACCTCTGTCCCAGTCTCAAATCTCTGGAAGACAAACATGTTTCCCTCAAGAATTTCCCTGTATTTAGCGCCATCCATCATTCCTTCAATTCTGACCAGTTTCCCAGTCCCTGCCGATGGAAAACATCCCCACAGCATGATGCTGCCACCATCATGCTTCACTGTGGACATGGTGTTCTCGGGGTGATGAGAGGTGTTGGGTTTGCGCCAGACATAGCATTTTCCTTGATGGCCAAAAAGCTCATTTTTAGTCTCATCTGACCAGAGTACCTTCTTCCATATGTTTAGGGAGTCTCCCACATGCCTTTTGGCGAACACCAAACGTGTTTGCTTATTTTTTTCTTTAAGCAATGGCTTTTTTCTGTCCACTCTTCCGTTAAGCCCAGCTCTGTGGAGTATACGGCTTAAAGTGGCCCTATGGACAGATACTTAAATCTCCACTGTGGAGCTTTGCAGCTCCTTCAGGGTTATCTTTGGTCTCTTTGTTGCCTCTCTGATTAATGCCCTCCTTGCCTGGTCCGTGAGTTTTGGTGGGCGGCCCTCTCTTGGCAAGTTTGTTGTGGTGACATATTCTTTCAATTTTTTTTATAATGGATTTAATGGTGCTCTGTGGGATGTTCAAAGTTTCTGATAAAAAAATGTTACCCAACTCTGATTTGTACTCCACAACTTTGTCCCTGACCTGTTTGGAGAGCTCCTTGGTCTTCATGGTGCCGCTTGCTTGGTGGTGCCCCTTGCTTAGTGGTGTTGCAGACTCTGGGGCCTTTCAGAACAGGTGTATATATACTGAGATCATGTGACAGATCATGTGACACTTAGATTGCACACAGGTGCACCAGATCTTATTTAGGGGCTTCATAGCAAAGGTGGTGAATACACAGCCACGCTCAAGGTCCTAAACGATATTATAACCGCGATTGATAATAGACAGTACTGTGCAGCCGTCTTCATCGACCTGGCCAAGGCTTTCGACTCTGTCAATCACCGCATTCTTATTGGCAGACTAAATAGCCTTGGTTTCTCAAATGACTGCCTCGCCTGGTTCACCAACTACTTCTCAGATAGAGTTCAGTGTGTCAAATCGGAGGGCCTGTTGTCTGGACCTATGGCAGTCTCTATGGGGGTGCCACAGGGTTCAATTCTTGGGCCGACACTTTTCTCCGTGTATATCAATGATGTCGCTCTTGCTGCTGGTGACTCTCAGATCCACCTCTACGCAGACGACACCATTTTGTATACATCTGGCCCTTCATTGGACACTGTGTTAACAAACCTCCAAACGAGCTTCAATGCCATACAACACTCCTTCAGTAGCCTCCAACTGCTCTTAAACACTAGTAAAACTAAATGCATGCTTTTCAATCGAACGCTGCTGGCACCCGCCCACCCAACTAGAATCACCACTCTCGACGGGTCTGACCTAGAGTATGTGGACAACTACAAATACCTAGGTGTCTGGTTAGACTGTAAACTCAACTTCCAGACTCACATAAAGAATCTCCAATCCAAAGTTAAATCTAGAATCGGCTTCCTATTTCGCAACAAAGCCTCCTTCACTCATGCTGCCAAACATGACTATCCTACCGATCCTTGACTTCGGCGATGTCATTTACAAAATAGCCTCCAACACTCTACTCAGCAAATTGGATGTAGTCTATCACAGTGCCATCCGTTTTGTCTCCAAAGCCCCATACACTACCCACCACTGTGACCTGTACGCTCTTGTTGGCTGGTCCTCACTACATGTTCGTCGTCAAACCCACTGGCTCCAGGCCATCTATAAATCACTGCTAGGCAAATCCCCGCCTTATCTTAGCTCATTGGTCACCATAGCAGCACCCACCCGTAGTCTGTAAAAAATGTAAATGTCTGCGCTCCAGCAGGTATATCTCACTGGTCATTCCCAAAGCCAACACCTCCTTTGGCCGCCATTCCTTCCAGTTCTCTGCTGCCAATGACTGGAACGAATTGCAAAAATCTCTGAAGCTGGAGACTCTTATCTCCCTCAATAACTTTTAAGCATCAGTTGTCAGAGCACCTTACCGATCACTGCACCTGTACACAGCCCATCTGAAATTAGCCCACCCAACTACCTCATCCCTATATTGTTATTTATTTTGCTCTTTTGCACCCCAGTATCTCTATTTGCACATAATCTCTTGCACATCTAGCATTCCAGTGTTAATACTATTGTAATTATTTTGCACTATAGCCTATTTATTGCCTTACCTCCATAACTTGCTACATTTGCACACACTGTATATATATTTTCTGTTGTATTTTTGACTTTATGTTTTTTACCCCATATGTAACTCTGTGTTGTTTTTATTGCACTGCTTTGCTTTATCTTGGCCAGGTCGCAGTTGTAAATGAGAACCTGTTCTCAACTGGCTTACCTGGTTAAATAAAGGTGAAATAAAATAAAATAACGCACCACTTTTCCGTTTATTAATTTTTTTGAATTTTCTGAAACAAGTAAAAAAATAAAAAATACTTCACCAATTTGGACTATTTTGTGTATGTCCATTACATGAAATCAACAGAATAACATGGTTTACAGTATCAAAAGCTTTTCATAAGTCTACAAACATGGCAGCACAATTATTTATATAATCTAAGGCCTTTGCAATATAATTTACAACAAGCATGGTAGCCATGCTATGTTTAGGTCTAAATACGGATTGATTAATATTAAGAATACAATTTACAGATAGAAAATAACGTAGCTGTTTGTTGACCAATTATTCTAGTATTTTCGCAAGACGGGAGCCTGGAAATAGGTCGATAATTATCGAGATCACAACTATCCCCGCCCTTATGGAGTGGTAGCACAAAAGCTGCTTTCCACACTTTTGGAATATTTCCTGATACTAAAATTAAATAAAAAATGTGTGTAACTGAGCCAGCAATGAGGGGCGCTGCATATTTAAGCAAAGACGGGTCCAAATTGTCAGCCCCTAATGACTTCTTGGTGTCAATAGCTAATAAGGCAGCAAGAACTTCTGTTTCTGTGAGTTGCCAAAAAGAAAAACCCTGACTACCATGTCCCAAGTCACGTGAGGTTGACTGATAATTAATCGAGGCAACTGGAGGCTGTATGTGGGAAGAACAGTCAACTGGAGGCTGTATGTGGGAAGAACAGTCAACTGGAGGCTGTATGTGGGAAGAACAGTCAACTGGAGGCTGTATGTGGGAAGAACAGTCAACTGGAGGCTGTATGTGGGAAGAACAGTCAACTGGAGGCTGTATGTGGGAAGAACAGTCAACTGGAGGCTGTATATGGGAAGAACAGTCAACTGGAGGCTGTATGTGGGAAGAACAGTCAACTGGAGGCTGTATGTGGGAAGAACAGTCAACTGGAGGCTGTATGTGGGAAGAACAGTCAACTGGAGGCTGTATGTGGGAAGAACAGTCAACTGGAGGCTGTATGTGGGAAGAACAGTCAACTGGAGGCTGTATGTGGGAAGAACAGTCAACTGGAGGCTGTATGTGGGAAGAACAGTCAACTGGAGGCTGTATGTGGGAAGAACAGTCAACTGGAGGCTGTATGTGGGAAGAACAGTCAACTGGAGGCTGTATGTGGGAAGAACAGTCAACTGGAGGCTGTATGTGGGAAGAACAGTCAACTGGAGGCTGTATGTGGGAAGAACAGTCAACTGGAGGCTGTATGTGGGAAGAACAGTCAACTGGAGGCTGTATGTGGGAAGAACAGTCAACTGGAGGCTGTATGTGGGAAGAACAGTCAACTGGAGGCTGTATGTGGGAAGAACAGTCAACTGGAGGCTGTATGTGGGAAGAACAGTCAACTGACTGGCCAAGACCAGTATGACCACTTTTCTTTCAAATAGAAAACCAGCTGAGATAAAAATGCTGATGAAAAGCATCACAAATCTTAACTTTTTCAGTAATGATGCAGGTGTCAAACTACTTGCTTAGCAGGGAAGTATAGGAATTACCCCGCTTCAGTGAATTAATGGTTTTCCAGGATTTAGAGGGATCAATAACAGTCTGCCATAGCGCTAAGGAAGTAGTTTGATTTGGCCTGTTTAACCGAGGCAGTGCACCTATTTCTCAATTGACTAAATATCTGCCAATCAGCTAACGTGACAGTTTGTCTAGCCTTGGCCCAGGCTTGATTTCTTATCAAGAGGTCTGAAAGTACGGGAGAGTACCATGGATTAGTTCGGTTTTTGACTTGAAAGTGGCATGTTTATCAGCCAGAGATGTAAAAATGGAAGATAAAAATTCAAGTGCCAAAACAGGGTTTGGTATGCAGCTACAGTGAGGGAAAAAAGTATTTGATCCCCTGCTGATTTTGTACGTTTTCCCACTGACAAAGAAATTATCAGTCTATAATTTTAATGGTAGGTTTATTTGAACAGTGAGAGACAGAATAACAACAAAAAAATCCAGAAAAACGCATGTCAAAAATGTTATAAATTGATTTGCATTTTAATGAGGGAAATAAGTATTTGACCCCCTCTCAAGCAGAAAGATTTCTGGCTCCCAGGTGTCTTTTATACAGGTGTCCAGAGAAGCAATCAATCAGATTCCAAACTCTCCACCATGGCCAAGACCAAAGAGCTCTCCAAGGATGTCAGGGACAAGATTGTAGACCTACACAAGGCTGGAATGGGCTACAAGACCCTCGCCAAGCAGCTTGGTGAGAAGGTGACAACAGTTGGTGCGATTATTCGCAAATGGAAGAAACACAAAAGAACTGTCAATCTCCCTCGGCCTGGGGCTCCATGCAAGATCTCACCTCGTGGAGTTGCAATGATCATGAGAACGGTGAGGAATCAGCCCAGAACTACACGGGAGGATCTTGTCAATGATCTCAAGGCAGCTGGGACCATAGTCACCAAGAAAACAATTGGTAACACACTACGCCGTGAAGGACTGAAATCCTGCAGCGCCCGCAAGGTCCCCCTGCTCAAGAAAGCACATATACAGGGCCGTCTGAAGTTTGCCAATGAACATCTGAATGATTCAGAGGAGAGCTGGGTGAAAGTGTTGTGGTCAGATGAGACCAAAATCGAGTTATTTGGCATCAACTCAACTCGCCGTGTTTGGAGGAGGAGGAATGCTGCCTATGACCCCAAGAACACCATCCCCACCGTCAAACATGGAGGTGGAAACATTATGCTTTGGGGGTGTTTTTCTGCTAAGGGGCAGGACAACTTCACCGCATCAAAGGGACGATGGACGGCGCCATGTACCGTCAAATCTTGGGTGAGAACCTCCTTCCCTCAGCCAGGGCATTGAAAATGGGTCGTGGATGGGTATTCCAGCATGACAATGACCCAAAACACACGGCCAAGGCAACAAAGGAGTGGCTCAAGAAGAAGCACATTAAGGTCCTAGAGTGGCCTAGCCAGTCTCCAGACCTTAATCCCATAGAAAACCTGTGGAGGGAGCTGAAGGTTCGAGTTGCCAAACATCAGCCTCGAAACTTTAATGACTTGGAGAAGATCTGCAAAGAGGAGTGGGACAAAATCCCTCCTGAGATGTGTGCAAACCTGGTGGCCAACTACAAGAAACGTCTGACCTCTGTGATTGCCAACAAGGATTTTGCCACCAAGTACTAAGTCATGTTTTGCAGAGGGGTCAAATACTTATTTCCCTCATTAAAATGCAAATAAATGTATAACATTTTTGACATGCGTTTTTCTGTATTTTTTTGTTGTTATTCTGTCTCTCACTGTTCAAATAAACCTACCACTAAAATTATAGACTGATCATGTCTTTGTCAGTGGGCAAACGTACAAAATCAGCAGGGGATCAAATACTTTTTTCCCTCACTGTTTATAGTAGAAAAAAGCTCTGAATAATATAGATCATGAAGAAATGCCTGGGGTGAAATTATTTTAAAAAAACGTTCTCTTCACAATTATAGGAGGCTCAGAGTTTTTCAATTTGGTATCTCTAATGCAAGCAATAGGGCAGTGGTCGCTGATATCATTTGCAAAAACACCACTAGCAAAATACTTATGGGGACGGTTAGCCTGGATAAGGTCAATCAATGAGGAGTTTGCTAGTTTTTCTTTACATTAATCCGAGTGGGTTTCGTTATCAGCTGAGTCAATTTGAACCCAAGACAGATATTCTTAAAACTGATCTGAGGCATGTGTAAGCCAATCAAGATTTAGGTCTCCCAACACAACCAGTTCAGATACCAGAAAGGGTTTAAATAAATCAGAAATAATACCAACAGCCCCGGCCGAAGCGGCTGGGGGGCAGTAGACCGCAGCAATAAATATATTTGGCTTATAGACACTTTTATAACCAACAGCTCACACATTTTGGAAAATATCTTACATAAAGCCACCCCTCCCCCCTTTTTTTGTCTATCACATCTGAAAACATTGTAGTCAGCAATGGCAACATCCTTTTCCATAATCAAATTATTCAGCCAGGCCTCTGAGATAACCAGAACGTCTGGGCTAGTGTCATGCACCTAGACATCCAGAAATTCCATTTTAGACGTTAGGCTTTGCATATTTATATATAACCACTCTGCGAGATTTGAAAACAGCAGGAGTATCCATGGTGACAGAAGAGTCAACAGAACTGGATGAGCAACCACAACAGGCTTCCTGATTGGATTCAAAGTCACAGAGCTAATAGTAGAATTCAGGTATATGTGCACACGATTACTATGACAACACGCCTATGCTTATGAGCACATGTAGCAAAGCTTGATATAAAACTATTAATAGCATAGGTGGAGCTAACAGTGGGTTCCTTGAGGGAGCTAAAATTAACAGGCACATAATTACTGTTTACAATACATCAATTAACATGGGAAGCTGTGGCGGAATGATATTGCTGTGATTTAATAGGAGTAAATACCTTAGAGGAGCTTGATGTGATCAGTCAATGCATCATCGCTGCCTTCTAGAGTTTGGACAGACCTACAACAGTAGCCTGCATGCCTATGGCATCATGTCAGTGTAAATTTAACAGCATAAATACATCCAAAGTGATTTGGTCTGCCCATCATATACACTATATAAACAAATGTATGTGGACACCCCTTCAAATGAGTGGATTCAGCTATTTCAACATTTACATTTTAGTCATTTAGCAGACGCTCTTATCCAGAGCGACTTACAGTTAGTGAGTGCATACATTTTATTTTATTTTTTTCATTTCATACTGGCCCCCCGCGGGAATCGAATCCACAACCTTGGCGTTGCAAACGCCATGCTCTACCAACATCCCTGCCTGCCATTCCCTCCCCTACCCTGGACGACGCTGGGCCAATTGTGCGCCGCCCCATGGGTCTCCCGGTCACGGCCGGCTACGACAGAGCCTGGATTCGAACCAGGATCTCTAGTGGCACAGCTAGCACTGCCTTAGACCACTGCGCCACTCGGGAGCTGTTGCTGACAGGTGTATAAAATCGAGCACACCGCCATGCAATCTCCATAGACAAACATTGGCAGTAGAAAGGCCTTCCTGAAGAGCTCAGTGACTTTCAACGAGGCACCGTCATAGGATGCCACCTTTCCAGTTTGTCAAATTTCTGCCCTGCTAGAGCTGCCCCGGTCAACTGTAAGTGCTGTTATTGTTATTATTATTATTATTATTATATTATTAAGTGGAAAAGACTATGAGCAACATTGGCTCAGCCGCAAAGCGGTAGGCCACAAAAGCTCACAGAACGGAACCGCCGAGTGCTGAAGCAACACTCACTACCGAGTTCCAAACTGCCTCTGGAAGCAACGCCAAGCAGCCGCACAAGCCTACGATCACCATGTGCAATGCCAAGCGTCGGCTGGAGTGGTGTGAAGCTCGCCGCCATTGGAGCAGTGGAAACGCGTTCTCTGAAGTGATGAATCACGCTTCACCATCTGGCAGTCCGAAGGATGAATCTTTGTTTGGCAGATGCAAGGAGAACGCTAACTGCCCGAATGCATAGTGCCAACTGTAAAGTTTGGTGGAGGAGGAATAATGATCTGGGGCTGTTTTTCATGGTTTGGGCTAGGCCACTTAGTTCCAGTGAAGGGAAATCTTAACGCTACAGTATACAATGACATTCTAGACAATTCTGTGCTTCCAACTTTGTGGCAACAGTTTGGGGAAGGCCCTTTCCTGTTTCAGCATGACAATGGCCCCATGCACAAAGCGAGGTCCATACAGAAATGGTTTGTCAAGATCGGTGTGGAATAACTTGACTGGCCTGCACAGAGCCCTGACCTCAACCCCATCGAACACCTTTGGGATGAATTGGAACGCCAACTGTGAGCCAGGCCTAATCGCCCAACATCAGTGCCCAACCACACTAATGCGCTTGTGGCTGAATGGAAGAAAGTCCCTGCAGCAATGTTCCAACATCTTGTGAAAAGCCTTCCCAGCAGAGTGGAGGCTGTTATAGCAGCAAAGAGGGGACCAACTCCACATTAATGCCCATGATTTTGAAATGAGATGTTCGACGAGCAGGTGTCCACATATTTCTGTTAATGTAGTGTATTTCTACATTTAAAAAATGAAGACCTTGAGTGAACCAAGTGTGTACCGCAGCTTTCATTGGCGAGACACTGCCAACTGAGACACTGCCAACTGAAGTGTGGTCCTCTGTAGCTCAGCTGGTAGAGCACGGCGCTTGTAACGCCAAGGTAGTGGGTTCGATCCCCGGGACCACCCATACACAAAAATGTATGCACGCATGACTGTAAGTCGCTTTGGATAAAAGCGTCTGCTAAATGGCATATTATTATTTATATTATAACTGATCACTATCTATAGAGGACGTGTCAAATTGGCTACCAATCTCACTCCTCTCTCATTATCCTGAGTCTGGCAGCATCTCAGATTGTTCTATTTTTGGTTCCCCTCCCTCCCACCCTGACCAGAGATAGTGAGAGAGAATCACCCTAACACAATCGCAACCTACATCCCCTCCCCCCTCATCTTGTCTGTAGTCCAGAACCTTGCAAGACCTCTCCCTCTTCATCCAGCCCCACACAAAGCAGGGTAGTGTTACTGACAATATACTTCTCCCTGGTGCATTCATTTAAGATCTTGAACACAAACCTAGAATATTCATCAAAATTTCAATAAGGCAAGTCTACCCCTCAGAATGTGTGAACATCGCTGATCACTTAGAAAAGTACAACAAACTCAATTTTAGCTTGTTGGCAACGTTTCTCAATCTTTTACTACCACCTAGTGGATGAAAAGAGAACAGCAGTGGCTTTTCTCATACCATTTGCCACAGGATGCCAGTTACTAACATTTTAAACAGATACTCTCGCAATTGAATTAGTTAAAAACTGTACATACGTTACCATAATTTCATGCCAACTAATGTAGTGATTTGATAATCATTTGTGTTATTCAAGTGAGCCTTACTTTACACTAAAGAATTAGAGCAGTCTTCTCTTACATCAGCCCCAGAGAGTTATTGTGATTCTGTGATCTGTAGTCGTCAATAGATGTTTGAACGCACAAACTACCTGCAATGCAGATTATACAATCATAATATCTGTGATTCACACGCTCTTTTCATGGTATTTCTATAATATGTTACGTTTCACCCTTCCACTCAAACTCTTGTTATTTGTTTCATTAGTCCGATGTGGATACAGTCCCCAAATGTTTTGCATGTCAGCATTGAAGTTAAGATATAGAACTTTCAAAATACATTAAGTGTCACAGTATGATGTGTATTTTGAAAGTTCTACATCATTGGTTTCCTGTTTCGTCACGTTCGTTTTGGACTGATGCCCAACTGAGCATTCTACTCAATGCATCGGCAATGATCGCTGATGAAGATTATCAAAAGTGCTTTACAGTGGCTTGGAAATACAATGCCATTAAGGAGGCAAATAATTATCAGGAAAACCGTGTCATCATTTTGATATCGCCAGATTGACTTTAGATGCAGTATGAAGTTTGCTAAAATTCGTGGTCCTCTGTAGCTCAATTGGTAGAGCATGGCGCTTGTTACGCCATGGTAGTGGGTTCGATCCTCGGGACCACCCATATGTAAAAATGTATGCACACTAAGTCGCTTTGGATAAAAGCATCTGCTAAATGGCATATTATTATTAAAATTGAAGGAACACCAGATTATTGCTAGCTAGCTATTTTTGACTTACTATGCTAGCTAATGACATTGCCATTTGCGGGCGGCTTTTGAGGACGTTCATAACAAATGGCATGACCGGCCCAAGTGGAGGTGCAACATATGAATAGGCACACCCGGGTCACGTTTCAGAAAGGTGCAAAGTTACAGAATGTGATAGAGGTGAGTGTCATCAGCTCTTAGATAGTCCTGTGATTGACACACAGGTGGGCAGTAGTAAATACAAGAGGACGAGGGAAAATAATTCAACCAGAGGATTTATTTAAGATCGATCACGCCTTCTTCGCTGCCTCTTTCTGCAGCTTTTTCACCTCGTGCTTGATGATCTTGTTCCTCTGTGGACACAAACCGCAAATCAGTGACAAGTCAATCATTAGTGACAAGTATTTTTTTATTCAATTAATTATTTCCACTACGATGTACATTTAATTCGCAACCCAAAATACTCTATATAATTAATAATCTGATGTAAAAATGTTTGAGAATGTTTTCTCCACTCACCATCCTTTTGGCCTTCATCACCTTGAAGCGGTCAAAGTCTGACATCTGGGCCCTCTGCAGAGACATAACAGTTATACAACTGGGACATAGAGATTAGTAGCACTATAGCAAAACGTTTTGTAAGGGAAATCAAAACAACATTTGTGTATTAGACACATTTAAGTAGGTCCCTCCCTGTGTTGGCCCATTTGCTTCTGTTCGGTTCCTAGTGAATACCACCCTTAAAGGAAAATTCCACTCAAACTCTTGTTATTTGTTTCATTAGTCCGATGTGGATACAGTCCCCAAATGTTTTGCATGTCAGCATTGAAGTTAAGATATAGAACTTTCAAAATACATCAAGTGTCACAGTATGATGTGTATTTTGAAAGTTCTACATCTTGAAACCTTGAATGCTGACACACAAAACATTTAGGGACTATCAACAGTGGACTAATTAAACAAATACAAAAATATATTTTGAGTGGTATTTCCCTTTAAGTTGGAGGAACAATCCAGTAGCACTGCATACCATGCTCCACCACACACCCAAAAAGGTCAACAATTCCATACAAATATTGTGCTGGACCATCTGGATGTTACAGGACCTACTCTAGGGACAAAACCCCAAAGACCACAACCCAAGCAAGACTGAAGGGACACATCGGCATTGACAGTATATACAACAAGGAAGTCGTTACCAAATGTGTGGGGGCAGTGATTCATCTAAAGCCTACTGAAGTTTCCCGTGTCCCATTTGACAAAATGTTTAGCCCCAGCCCTTGAGAAACCAACTGCTACCCAGAAGCAGACCCCCTCCCACTCCCAGAGCCATTCTGTCAGAAACATGTGGACCCCAGGAGGAGTTGCTGTTTCGACTAACAGCTAATGGCCAATCAAAATGAACAAATAAACAGTACCTTTTGTCTGGCTTCAATCTTCTTGGCCCAGTTGCTTTCTGCCCACTTCTCAGTGACTTGGGCCTTCTCCCAGGCGCGTTTCACAAACTTTTGACGAGCGCTGCAACACAGTTAGGGTTATTGTCCAGAGGACCCAAATATGCAGAGGAGAGCCATAGCTTTACAGTTATAGCACCACAATTGCAAATGAATGTTGTGAGGTAGCCTATTGTTCTGTGTGGTTACTGTAAGTCTATGTGACTCAAGGATAGTCAATAAGAAAAAGTTCACTTGAAAACGCAAAGCAGCGGCCACACAATTCATTGATGTGTCTGTGTGCATGTTGTACCAGCCCAGCAGTAATACATCTGACTGAACCAATCAAGGTCTTGAGAACTTGGGTGTATTTATTAGTGCAAACCATAGCGAAACATTTTGCAATGCAAACAAGTTTCTATTGGACAGAGGTAGGTCCCTCCCTGTTTCATTCAGTTTGCTTCTGTTTAGTTCCTAGTGAATACACACATGTTGTCCTCTCACTCACCTGTGTGGTACTTTGATGACGTAGTCAGTGAGCTGCATGCACTTGAAGGGCATCGACTGCCTCTTCACCCCTGTGCAGGGACCATCCACCAGTGCCTGAGACAAACACACAAGTCATTTTAAATAAACAAAATAATGTCTATGCCGAGTTGAACCATTCTTAAATTAACAGATGTGGTAATTGTTTGAAGGACAATTGAGAAGGGTTGGTGGATAAACATACAAACGCTAGTAGACTACAAGATACTGGTACCAGTGATACCTGAACATGTGAATCTGCCATACAGCCTACATTTTAGTCATTTAGCAGACACTCTTATCCAGAGCGACTTACAGGAGCAATTAGGATTAAGTGCCTTGCTCAAGGGCACATGGACAGATTTTTCACATAGTCAGCTCGGGGATTAGAACCAGCGACCTTTCGGTTACTGGCACAACGCTCTTAACCACTAAGCTACCTGCCGCCCCACAGCCTACACAACCAGATAGTCTCCTAGACCAGAGTTGGAGACCTCTAGCATAAAGTCAGGATGTCATCAATGCAATGCTTACTCTGTTTTGGTCGATGACATCGACGATGGCCACCAGGCTGCCTGCGTGGGGTCCAAAAGAGATGTAGGCGACGCGGCCAATCTCGACGTAGCGCTTGAACACCTGCAGGAAAAAAAAGTAGGGTTGTTAGCTAGCTAGTTTGAGCGCCAGCAAAGACAATCATGAACAAAACCCTTCAGTGAACGTGTTCCCGACACTCTGAATTTAGCTGGGTTATCCTAATTTACACATGTTTTACAAATGTGATTTGACTTTGTAACATGGCTATTATAGACAGTTTGTGGGAAACCACAAGACCGAGAAGTCTAGACTAACTAACGTTCATTAGCATGCTAACTAGTTAGCGGTCCTGGTGAACGGTACTAGCTAGTAGCCCACAACATAGCACACTAGCAGAGCTAGTGTACATACGACAGTGGACTGACAAACCAAACTAGCTAAAAAAAATAAAAATAAAACCCGGAGGACTTTAAAGAAACGGCAACTATCCTGCGCTCGCCATTGCAATGCATTTGTCATGATAGTGGGCTAACACTAAATAGCCTAATGATTATCGGCCTGTTCACCACGTTGTAGCAGACTGAACACCCGACATTTCAATAATGTCCAAAACCCATTGAAACTATTTTAATCATCGCTAATAAAAACGAATATAGCGATACGTTATGTATTTACATATTAATTGAGGCCCCTTAACAATAACTACAATTGTATTTAATACATTTTTCTAAATCCACAAGCTTCATTGCCAACTCACCATGATGGCAGTCCTCTTCAGAAAGGACGTCAAAGTTTCCGGTGGACGAAATTACGCTTTCCGTTCTGTAAATACGCATGCGTATGTGGGGGATTTATTTTTCGTGGATGGATGTTATAGTTCAGAATGCTCATCACGCCACCTACTGCAGAGGAATGTGTTGGTTTGAAATATAAACAGTCTATATTGATTAAATTATATTGATTCCTTTGATTAAACATGTTTGGTACTTTTTTTTTGAAAGTGTACACCTGAAATAAATTATGAGATAGTTCTACATGTAACATTTATCTTAAATCCACAACACTTTTGTCGACTATTCAATACTACTAGGCTTGTGCAAATTATTGCAAATTAGAGTTTCCACGTCTTTTTCCATCGTGGCAATGACAAGGTACAGCAACGATAGAGTAGGCCTACTATATGGAGTACATTAGGAGGCTATCATATCTAGTCTAATGCATACTCTTTTAAAAGGAGGGCTAATACAGAATTTGAACCTGGGACCTCCCGCACCCTAAACGAGAATCATACCGCTAGACCAGGGGTGTCAAACGTACGGCCCGCGGGCCGGATCAGGCCCGCAAACGGGTTTAATCCGGCCCGCGAGATGATTTATAAAAAATAATATATATATATATATATTTTTTTTTTGTATAAAAATGCGCTGCAATTTTTCAATAAAATAAACTGCTGTTCCAATTGTCCACTGGATGGCGCAATAGCAATTGTGTTAAGCAAGCAAACTGTTTATACCGGGGCAGAGCAAGTAGGTCAAGCACGTGCAGCCAATGAGCTACTTTGTTTTGCCCGCGATATTTATTACGGCTTCTACTTTTAACATTATGTGCTTTGGCACCCTCATTGCCCCAATATGTCTCTGTCAAAAAAGAGAAAAGTGGACGCAGAGTGCAGAGTGTTCCAAGAAAAATGGTCATCCTATTTCATCACGGAATTGAATGGGAAAGCTGTATGTTTGGTGTGTTCAGAGCATGTTGCAGTGCTGAAAGAATATAACCTTCGTCGCCACTATGTGAGTCTTCATGCCGACAAATATGACAACTTTCAAGGACAGCGGAGATGAGAGAAGGTGAATGAACTGTTGGCGGGTCTGAAGAAACAGCAGTCTGTGTTTACTCACAGCCGAGACATCAGTGACGCTGCAGTGAAAGCTAGCTACCTCATTGCTAATGAAATCGCAGTGGCTTCAAAACCATTTAGTGAGGGTGAATTTGTAAAAACATGCATGATGAAGGCAGCGGAGATTGTGTGCCCTGAAAAGCGGCAGGCTTTTGCAAATATCAGCCTGACAAGAAACACAGTTGCAGACAGGATTTCCGATCTTTCAGTGGATTTGGACAGCCAGTTGAAGCAAAAAGTAAAGTCATTTATTGCGTTTTCGGTTGCAATTGATGAAAGCACGGACATTACAGATGTTGCACAACTGGCCATTTTTTCATCCGCGGAGTTGATGACACATTGACCGTCACCGAGGAGTTTGTGGAGTTGGTGCCGATGACAGATACAACGACAGCAGCTGATATTTTTACCGCACTCGTCGGCGCGCTGGACAGGGTCGGAGTGGACTGGTCCCGCGCTGTCAGCCTGGCTACAGATGGTGCGCCCTCAATGATCGGGAAAAAAGCAGGCGTTGTGACAAAGTTCAGAGAGAAAGTGCAATCTGCAAATGGAGGACGTGATTTTTGGACTTTTCACTGTATTTTGCACCAGGAGGCTTTGTGTTGCAAGTCATTAAAGATGGATAACGTCATGAAGGTGGTCATCCAAACTGTTAATTTCATCCGATCCAGAAGCCTGAATCACCATCAGTTTGACAGCCTTCTCAGAGAGAACGACCACATCTATGGCCTGCCATACCACACTGAGGTAAGATGGTTAAGACGAGGTGCTGTGCTGAGGCGTTTCTTTGATTTACGAGAAGAAATTGAACAGTTCATGGAAGAAAAGGGCAAACCAGTGTTAGAATTTCATTCCGCAGAATGGATGCCGGACCTTGCATTTATGGTGGATGTTACAGAGCACCTGAATAACTTGAACAAACAGCTGCAAGGGCGCAACAAAGTTGTCACGCAGTATTATGACAGCATACGTTCTTTCAAGTTGAAGCTGTCATTGTGGGAGACGCAACTTGCCGGTGGTGATGCAGCTCACTTCCCATGTCTGAAAAATGTGTGCACGACCCAACATGTGGCAGACATGAAGCGGTTCAAAGATAAAATAACTGGACTGTTACGGGAGTTTGAGCAACACTTTCAGATTTATGTTTATATGTTTTTATGTTGATGTGCTATTGTTTTTAATTGATTTTATTTTATTTGTATATTTAACCTATTCTTGACTCTGTGGTTCTTGCACTTGTTTGGGGAACAGGATTTCATTATTTTTATCTACATTTCTGCCTGAGAAATGACACCCTGATATAGTTCTGTGATCTGTGAAACAGTTCTGTTAATCACCGAGGCATTGTGTGTTTGTGTGTTCTTTTTCTTTAGAATTTTCAAATAAACTTGACGTGTTTTATGATTAATAGTGATGTTGTGCTTGTACTATTTTGGACACACTGTCCTCAGGCTCCAGCTTTATGTTGTATGTTGATCGTATTAAAACAAAGAAAACAATCTGAAGTTGTTGTTTTTAAGTTATATATACCATGATTTTTCCGGTCCGGCCCACTTGGGAATAGATTTTCCTCCATGTGGCCCCTGAGCTAAAATGAGTTTGACACCCCTGCGCTAGACCATCAAGTCAGATATTAGCCAGTCCAAAAACCTCACATAATCTGTTTTAACTCAAGTGCCACGTATGTTGGGCGTAGGATATATTCATAGATATACTGTCAATCATTGGAAGGACTCCAACTCGACATGTCCCTGTAGTGGAACCCTGACCTACAGGTTTGAGTTACTTTCCTCCATCTATTGGCCATTGTCTAGACTGCAGGACGACCAAAATTCAACAGCATTACTTCTCGGCGCCAGCGTACCAATGATTAATTGAAATTGTCGTTACGTGCGCAGCATTTAGATGAATGTCAGAGCTTGCAGTTAGACTTCGCATGCAGGCTCGTCATTCTAGGGATATGATTCTCGCTTAGTGTGCGAGAGGTCGAGTGTTCAAATCCCGGACGAGCCCTAGTTTTAGGGCAAGCCAACCTGCATTGAAATAAAGTGTGGAGAAAAAGCCTAGTCCATGCGCCCACCTGTTCAGTAGTAGGCTAGTAGCAAATAGGTGGTGGTATGAAATCTTTGGAATTTATCTATTTTTCCTTTATTGATACCAGTGATCCTCTGAAATCATCCCCCACACAAAAAAACTATTTCAGAGGAGATCTCTCCCAGGTAAGAGAACAATTAAACATATTATATACAACAATACAGAACACATTCAAACAATACAGAACACAATCAAACAAAGCCAGTAACCTGATTTACAGGATAAGTTTGAAAAAAAAAACTAAACAACAACAGAATTCTTCCACTCCTAAGTTTTAATTTATGCTCTCAGAACCATATTTATAGTCAATTCATGCAACCTTTAGTTGTGTATGATGAGGGAGGTTGTTTTTGTCTCCTCCAGGAAATCCGGAAGGTGGTTTTGATTTAATAGTACCCTGAGGGTAGGTAGGAGGAGCTGTGATGTTCAACCAACAGGACAAGGGCAGCCACAGACAGACATGTCTGGCTCTGTTTTATTTTCAACTCACCATTGAAAACGCCTTTTGGCCCAGGATTAGGCTAACTTGTATCTGAAAGTAATAAGGGGTGCCACACCTATAAGCCTACCCCCTTATGGTAGAATGCAAACACAAAACATTTATTATCTCATTATAAGTGGTATGCTGATGTGGATATTGGAACACACTTCAGGTAGAAAAATAATCCACATCTGTCGCTCCAGTATTTACCAGAGTTTTACCACAGTCAGAGGACAAAATGAGTTTGTCTGAGTTTGAGATGAAACTAGCCAGGGAGGTTAGGAAATACCTAAACCTTTACAATAAAAAAGATACAAGTATAAATAATAATGATTGGATGAAAGTCGCTCGTGTTGTCGGCAAAGGTAAAAGAGAAATGGACTTCAGTTTTTGCAGGACAACATGGAAAAGGCTGAGGGGAAACTATACCAGAGAGCATAATAAGAAGACCAAGAGCGGGAATTCAAGTGTTGGACTAAAAGATCCTGAGATATTACAGGAGTTGGACTGGCTCTCCCCGTACATAAAACACAAAACCCAACCGACCCACATTCCAGGAGTAAAGGTGAGCTGTGTGTTTGATTGAAGTACCACAATTAGAATCACCTAGAACAGTGGTCACCAACCTTTTCTGAGTCAAGATCACTTTCTGAGTCAAAATGCAAGCCGAGATCTACTGCTCAGCTAACAAAAAAAAAAAAGACTTATAAAAACGTTTTGCCTACGCAAATTAACCAATTAAAAACAGTTATGTAGCAATAAGGTTTGTGCTGGAGGCTATAGGCCCAATATACAGTATTACACTGCATATTGGCTATGCTTGAATTATTCTCAGACCATTTTGGATGTAGAATGTAGGTATATGATCACACTGGTAATATATCATTTGTTGTATTACTTGTGAGGCACAGCTAAGTGAGCATAATTCGTTTTTTGTTTTTACTGGACTGATGGCCTGCATCTGACGGTCAGTCTGAGGGAAGGGAGGGGGCAGATGTGAGGCTGCCTTTCACCCGACTCACCGTCCCTCGCCTCTCCCTCCCTCCGCTGAGAAAAGTATTCCAGTTTATGGCGAAACTCAAGTCAAGTCGACCGGTTGGTGACTGCTGATCTAGACCATTCAGAGGACTTTATTGTGACTTTATCATATTTTCTTCCTAACTATAATCTCACGGACGGGCGGGACCTAGGGGTTAGATGAGATGCAAGGCATAGGGTTTCCTGTACTACACAAAGTTGATCTGTTTAACTCTCCTAGTGGTAGAACTTTGCAGTGAAAACACACTGACTAATTTATTGATGTCTTGAAAGAATGGTAAACATAATATTTAGTTAGAAATGAATTGCTGGATGTTTTATCA